ACTAACATCCATGTCTCGTCATCATCATTGTCAATTGTCTTTTGTTTTGACACAGATTATCCTTGAACAGTAAGACACAATAAATGTTCTCAACAATCAAATAGAAAAAGAACATCCTTCATTTTCTGTTTGTTTTTATAAGTGTCAACATCATTTATCGTCTTATTTAGTATTTATATCCGTCTGCATGCATACATAAAAGCATAATTAGATTAAAAAATAGATTTCGTATGCATCATATTCAAGTTAAGTAAATAAGACCTAGTGGTAGTTATTATTTGTTATCATATATAACATAATTTCCATAGTTCCTATTGAATAAACGATTTAATCAAGCAGAGAAAATTTTAATAAAGCGTTAATAATATGCCAATCATTCAATGTCGATATTCACTCCACCTACATCGTCATTAATACATATTGAAAGCCAAATAGGCAAGCAAGAGAAAAAGAAAAGGTAAAATTCAAGCATATTTATTTACTAAATATTATCAAAGCTTTGTACATGTTTACATTTTGCTTATAAAATTGCTTCAATATGCTGATCTAATCATGTAATATGACTATTAAATTATCATCAATACTGTCTTCTTGATTATTGTATATATATATTTGTCATAAAAAAATAACAAAAATATTCTTTATTGCTATTTGATTTTGTCAACAGATCAAAATCTACAAAAAAAAGACCTTTGGGTATTCTAAAAAAAACGCGTGTAAGAAAATGAAATATCGAGATCTAATGTTTGTGCATTTGTAACATTGGATGGTACAAATAATTCTTAGAGCAATTGTCATCGATTATTTACGACACATCTATCTTAATTTTCTGCAAAACTAAACTTGTCTTATATATGCAAGTAGGTCTTATTAACCTTAACGCAAGTAAAGCATTGTTTTTGATGCGAAAATAAACTATCAATCTCAAAATAATGATATATTATAATTATGGTCCTTTCTTTTTTTTTTCAAATGTTTTTTTATTTCGTAATAGAGACGGTGAAATAAGTATAATTGAGATAATTATCATTATTTTATCTTTGCATTTTGTTTTTTAATTTTGACACTATCATTAATGTTTAGAATTTTTTGATTTTGCCACGAAGAAATTATCATGATTTAGATATTTGATGAATAATGTAAAAACAAAGCAGAGCAAAAGAACATGATGACGAAAAAAGCGGTGATGCTAGTTTCCATGAGTCTTTAGCTAAGTACTACTACATTAAAGATTACATAATTATTCGATGATATTATTACTTTTTACTATCCACTCATACAGACACTATTTTATATATATATGACATGCATTATCTACTAGAACTTCAATGATTCATAACTATCTTGCCATTTAGCAAGGTACATACACAAACGAAATGTGATATATGTAATTGCCTTTTCCTTATAGAAAAATTCAAATGAATTTTTCTATTTGTTTTTAATTCTTTATTATATCTAATAATAAAGAATTAACATTATTGTATTCATATAGATCTATTCAGACCGATTCTGTCATATTTCCTTTTTTATTCATTTAAATGCTCAATCAATCGTTCTCATCGTTATTGACGATAAGTGGACTTTTTTTTTTCTTTTTCTCTCTCTCTTCTTTCATATATTCATTCTTTTTTTTTTTTTGCTTCACGCCTTGTTACGTATGCATTCTTACTGTTAATCCAAAAAGAATATATAGAAGAGAAATAAATCATTTTTTTTCTTCAAGTCTTCTTGTCTAACAACTTGTGTTCATCAACATTGATAACCTTGTTGATTATATTTATTTATGCAAGAGTTTCACAATTTATTCGAAGGATGTATTTGTAAGTATCAACATAGCACCCTAGGAATACAAACTTTCATGGTATTAAACCTTAGTAATTGTTCGGTTTGTTTTTTCTTTTGTGTTCGACTATATGACAGTTTTTTCTTAGTATAATACTTCGTCTTTCATGCGTAGACGAATATAAATTAGCCTTAGAAAAGTAGTACATTTTTCAGTTATGAATGACGCAGTAACCTAATTAACTCATGAATTCTTTTTTATCTTATAGAGAATGATGAAGTTCTTATTTTAATATATTTAACAGATGATTAAAAACATTTTTATGATAAATTTGGTTGTTTTTCTTTGATGAATATGCATAATTCAAACCGTTAATATTTTTTAGAATTTTAACAATCGATATAATATTTAAAATGATTCTTTTTTTAAATGATAAGAAAAATATTGATAAGCTTTAGTTTTAAAATATAGAATAGTTTTAAGAAGACTTATTTGTGGAAAAATAATTTATTCTTAAGTAAAAATTATCTCTTTTTTTTTTTTTTTGTTTTGTTTTTTTTTCTACTCAAAATATGTCGATCAAATTTTTGTTAGTTATCATTGAAAAATGCTTTACTATGAGTAGTTTAAATGGGTGAATTAGTTATTATTGTTATTAGAGAGTAAATTGATGAGAAGAAGAGATGAACAAAGAAAAAAAGTCTATTTTTGACATTTTTTAGTATGATTGTTGAATTTTTAAGAGTATACTTTTTTGTTTATCTAGTTTAACATACTTTTGTTTTTTTTTTGTTTTCGTTGTACCAAATATCTTTCACGTTTTGTCTTTTAAAATTGAATTACAATCATTTATAATATAAAATAAATATTTTCACATCATCAATCTAAATGATCATTACCTATCATTTTTTATCAACATGTATGCTTTTTTTTTGGTTTTTTTTTTTGTTTTTTTGCTTCGTTCGTTTTTCTTCTAGACATTGTAATTAATTGATGATCAAGCTAGGAGAGAGGTTTTTCATGGACAAAGTACAATAATAATACTAATAATAATAAGAAAAAAAGATAGAGATATGTCTAAATTATATAGGATATAAGATGAGAGAAAAAAAGATTGAATTGAGTAGCAGAAAGAAAGGAGACGAAACATGTTAACGACTCTTATATATATTACTTGTGTGTTAGTAGCCACTGTATAAAATAACTCAAGCTTTATCTACACGTGACGGCCTCCTAGTTCCTAACAAATGTACGTGCGCCTTCTTTCTTTTGTTTGTTTGTTTTTTCGTATTTTGTAGGGATAATTTTTCTTTGCGCGGTAAAAATCCATATATTTGAAAGTGAATCGTTTTTTCTTACTCATTGTTTACATTTCAATGACAGTATACACCTGTGTGTGACATGGGCACACATCAATACAATCTGCTTTGAGATATAGATGATGCACTTCTTACTGTAAGATTGTTGAATGGTAACGATTTTTTCTTACAACACCTTTCGTAGACATTACTATTGATTACGTTCCATTTTCTCTTGTTTCAAATTTTTTTGCTTGCTTTTGAACTTCGTATTTGTATTGTTTTGATATTTCACTACACGTAAATAAAATAGGAAAAAATATCATAGATCAATCTGATTGATTGATCTATTACAAGTCATTTGTGTCTCTCATAATCGAAATTTTTGTAGTAGTATCGTTGAAATAAAATAGAATCATGAAATAGCAAAAAAAAAACATTTTCTTACTTTCGTCTTTCTTTCTCATTCACTTACAGGTAGATTAAAGACAAGCATAAATATTTATAATTACTATATAAGTAGATTGATTGGATTGTATCATTGAAATAAATACTTTTTAAAAATAAGAAATTTTCATTTGATTGTTCATTTTTTATGAAGAATTAGACATTATTATCTTATCATACGGAAAACTACAAAAAAAAAACAAAATTCAAATTTGAAAAGGAGAAAATACGGAATTTTCCATGTATTTTTTTTTATCTAATCAGAACTAAGGATGTCTAGTATATTTTGAACTAATAAAATTAAAATCATCTTTTTATTATTGTCTTGTTCAAATAAATTAATTTTCATTTGTAGATAATAAGCATGGAATGACACTTGATTCTTTTCTTGTGCTACAAATATATGCATGCTAATCCACGTCAGAGGTGCGAGGTGGAAGAGGAGAATTTCATCATAAGAAACGGATCTTCTTCTATTACGCTTTGATGATAATCTTTTATTGCAAACGACGGAAAAAAGAAGTATTGCTTGAAATACTATTTTCCTTTTTCTTTTCTTTTTTAAAAAAGACTAACTTTTTTCTGTTGTCATCATCGGTATGATACCGCCTTATATTTCTAGAACGAAGAGAAGTGAGAGAAAGAGAGAGCGAGAGCGAGAACGAGAACAGCCAAGGCATTCTATCGAGCAAAACTATGATATTTAGAGAGACACCACCTTTTGTAATATTTTGTTGCACAAGGATTCTTCTCTGTTTTCTGTTCTAGTGTATTGACAATAGTAAACGAAAAAAAACAAACAAATATTAGTAATCCAACTACTTTGCCTGATAAAAGAAAACGAGAAGCAGGAAAAATAAGCCGACACATGTACAAAAAGCATTATATTTTGTGTACTTGTTTCTTCGTATCGTACGTATATCATCTCTATAATTTTTTTCTTTTCAACATTATGCTTAACAAAAGAAAGAAAAAAGACAACAATCTCTGAGTATTTTCGTAATTTTGCTAATGATCTATGCACACACAGATATATATATATATATGTTGGAGAGGATTCAGATAATCAAATCATGAATAGAAAGTTAAAGAAAAGAAAATTGACTTTTTTTTTAATCGAAGAATAAATGATGATTGAGAAAAGCTTCTGTCATAGTGATGACATTAGTTAGAATGACAGTCAATTGCAGGGCTGTTTGTTATTATTGTTCCTATTATAGTTGCTACTTCCTTCGTCATCAACTGACAGGATCACCACTACCAGCATTTGCCAGTCTATATTCCTCTAGAAAATGTTTTCCATATCTTATCTATATCATGTCTTATAGGGACAGCAATGACGTCTCTATTAGTTAATATACATTGTCTATATTCTAGAAAAAAAATAGTGTTATAACAACTAATTCATTATATTGATCAATAATATTTATGCTTTAATTAACATCATCAAATATTTTCAACAGAATAAACAAATGGCAAACTATAATAAAAGTGATTTTTTCTTATTTATTAATATAAATTCTTCAATTTTACCGCTATCATATTCTGAAAATAGCAGTACTTTACATTCATCATCAGATAGTACAAAAAAAAATATTTCTGAACATTTAAAATTGGTTGAACGTTTAACAACTCATATAACACTTATTGTTTCTATTATTGGTTTAATTGGTAATGCATGTACAATAATTGTACTTAATAGACAATCAATGCGTAAATGGCGTTCGTCAATATTACTATCATCGTTAGCTGCTGTAGATTTTCTTTATTTATTAATTATATTTTTATCAATTATTGATGAACTAACAAATCAAACAATTGGTCTCAATCAGTCATTAATATTATGTCAAGTAACTGTTTATATAACACATGTTTGTTCATTTTTATCAGCTAGTTTTACATTATCATTTACATCACAACGTTTTATTGCTGTTATTTTTCCATTACATGCTAAAACAATAATATCAAATCGTTCATCAATAACAAATATAGTAGTATTATTAGTTTTTGGTTGTAGTTTTTATTCATTTAGTTTTTTTGTGACAAATGTATCACATGGAAAGTGTATAGAAGATGAAACATATCCAGCTTTATTTCCATTATTACTTGCCGATATATGTTTAACATTTGTCATACCTTTTATATTTATAGTTATTTTTAATTGTGCAATTGTTTACCAATTACAACATAGAAAAAAATTTTCAAATTTTCTTGGTAAGTTATTTTGTTTTTTAAATATTATTTATTTTAATTGAGGAAATGAAAAGAAACAGGAAAAAGAGTAATTATTTCGCTGCTGTTATATTTATTTTTCACAACAGAAAGTCGATATGAAATGAGATGACATGTAGGTTATCTAAAAGATGAATATTAATCGTACTGTTATGCCATAATATTGTTTTTGCCTGCACGTTAAGTAATCACTTAGGTATGGTTCATTGAATAGAATTCTTCTGGTCTACTTCATAAGATATAATCTGAGATTTATTTTGTATTATGATACAATATTCCATAAATAGACAATTTTTTATTATTATATTAGTTCTTTAATTGAAAACAGTAAAGAGATCGTTCTTGAATAACACATATAATATCATATTAGAATATATAAGAGAAATATGATTACACTATTGCTGGTACAGAGTTCATGTAGGAAAATAAAATATGAGAGAATTAGAGTTCAAAACCTAATTATCAACATAATCAAACTTGTATATAACAAGTATTGAAATTGACAAGAAGAAAATTAGAGTTTATTCTTGTCCGACAAAATAGAATAGACAGAAAATTCTATTGTTACTTTTATAGTGGTAGAGAAAAATCTAATACAGTTACATACTGCGACATAGCTTTTTTCTTTTTCATCGCGACACATTAATACTTAGGAATTGAAAGAATACTTGAAAAAAAGCTTTGTCATTTACAATGTAAAGAATTACACCGTTTTCTATTTCGTTAATACTTGATATCTACACGTTTCTTTCTATATTTAGATAGTTCATTAACAATGATAAGAACTCCTTATAGTCGGGGCAAATTGTCTACACTTCATTTGACTGGTGTTCATGATTATATTGAACAAGGACGTTTGTATCAAGCAAATCATGATGCAAATGGTTGTGGTCCATCAGACAATGGAAATAAAACATCAGATACACCAGAACCATTAAATCATACAGTTTGTGCATCAGTTGTTGAAACAACAACAAAACCTAACGAATATTCAACACGTCTTAGTAATCCACGTGCATCAGTATTAACAATATCGAATGATTTAATATGTACACCACCAAATTCAAATAATAATCGACAAGCAATATCACAACGTACAACAAAAATGCTTGTTATATGTTCAACAACGTTTCTTCTGCTTAATTCTCCATATTCTGCTGTTTTACTTTATTCTATTATATCAAAGCACGTGTTAACAAGTACACTTGGAATTTTAAGACATTTTTATTTTATGTCATTTTGTTTAAATTTTTTTCTTTATTCATTATGGGGAAATCGTTTTCGACAAGAATTTATTTTACTTTTAAAATCATGCTGTACAAAAACTCCTCATTTAACATGGTTTGGGTTTGATAAAATCTCGAAACTGTCAAATTTTACACCTGCTAACACTAGAGCAACTCTTTAATTTCTTTTCTTTTTTTTTGTTTGAAAAGAAAAAAAACATGAAAAATAAATTTGTGCTGTGTGTGTTTGTAAGATTTAATTTCTTTTCTCTTTTTTTTGTATATATAATAAATATATATTCATTCCCTTTGTCTTATGACTCTGATAAAAAAAAATAAATAGTTCAAGCATCGTGTCAGAATTTGAGATAACGATAGATAGGATACGCCTCGATTATTTAAACTGCAACGTGCACTCAAAGAATAAAGAAAAAAGAATGTGTACAGTCGTTTATGTTTGTCTTCTATTATTCTCTCTTGTACAAGGTCTGCAGAAAAAAAAAGAACGGATTAGATGATCAAAATGTAATTTTCATATATTTGTAGGAGATATTATCGCTAGTTCTGCTGATGAACAATGTAAGTCTATTAAATTATTAATTATTAACAAAATTTATTTCTTTGTTAGGCACATTTTTTGTGATTAAATATAAATATACATCTAAAGCTATTTTTCAATATGTACCTACTACTATTATTGATCAAACAGCATTGAATATAACTGCTGATGTGAATTTTTATCAATCAAAATCACCTTGTAATCAATCTTTTGTTAAAGTAATTAATTCATTGATAATGCAAAAAAAAACATACAGTTACCTTTTATTTTTTTTCTTTGTTTAGTTACAAAATCTGATTATTAATTCATTTCAACATGATAGTATTCATATGGATATCAAACAACTTGAAAAAGCTATTTTTCAGATATTTATTGAAACATCTGTTAGTAAAAATTTTGTATAGAAAAGAAATCAAAAATTTTGTTGTTTTTTAAAGAATATATTACAAAATACAACACAGGATATTATCTTCTTAAATGATTATTATAATAATAGTAATCAGTATCGTCAAATAAAAACTGTTCGAACAAATGATGGCCAATTTATTGGAAATTCTCTTTTTGCTGTAAGCCTATTTATTAGATAAAAAGAAACTTTGTCGTTTAAATTAAAAGTCCTCTGTTTTTTTTTTTAAATAGAATTATGTTTTCAATAAACTTGTTCCACCAACCAAAACAACATGTGAAACAATAATAAATATTAATGAAAAAAAACTTGAAAAAAGTACTTGTATATCAACCACTGCTATCCTTTTAACTATTAATAGGCAAATAAGTTTTGATAGCAAATTGGATAATCAAACATTTATCCTCACAAGTAAAAATTTAACTTCAACTCAATTAAAAACAACAACAAAAACTGACTTTGATCAATTATTAAAACAAATTTGTGCAAAATATGAATTAAATTTACAATATCAATTAATTAATATGATGAATAATGAACTTCATGATGAAGATTTAAATAAAATTCTGTTTCTAAATACAAATCAATATTCAAATTGTGAATGGTTGAAATGCTTTTATTTTTAGTTTTTGTTCTCTTTTTTTTATTTGTTTTTCTTTCTAAAGGACAATGATCAATCAAAGTATAATTGACGTAACTCGTTATCAAGCTACAGAATATATTTTTAATAATTTTTATCATGATGAATCAATAGTTGAATATCATCTTGATTTAATTGAAAGAAAATCAAATGATCATACAAAACAAATTTTAAAAAAGTATTTTCCTAATTCTTGTCAAATAACAAATATAATAAATCTTCGTATGTTAATAATTATTTCACAAGATAATTTAACAATACAATGTATATTAAATCGAAATAATAGTTTAAAATATCGTGCTATTGCATTTCGTTTTCTCAATAATGAGAAAAATTTTCTAAAAGATTTTCAAATTATGTTAAATAATGAAGAAGAACCAAGTGAAATACGTATACTTTGTTTCCAAGCAATGTATTCATCTCTTAATATATCTGAAATAAATAATTTAATTGAAAATGTTAAATCAAATCAACTTCGTTTTTATATAAAATCTTTATTTAAACAAAGTTCAATATGGTTAGCAAATTCTGGTTCATATGAATTTCCATTTGGAAAACTTAATATTATATTTCATGAAAATTTATTATTCTATTTTCCAAATATGATTCAATTAGAACTTGGAAATAATACTGATATTGATTTTTATTTTGTGCGAAATAATGAAGAAAATATGGTATGAAATTTTTGCTTTTATCTTTTGTTTTCTTTGTTTTTTTTTTATTAATCTTTTTTTTCTTTTTTTCTTGCATATAGCAATGGGAAATTTTATTAATATTTGATAGAAAAAATATTATTCGTTTTTCAACAATTAAGGATTTTTTTAATTGGTTAAATAATGATCGATTATTTGAAATGAAAACTCTTGATGAATTTTATTTAAAAATAAATTTAAAATCGAATTTTAATCTTAAATGGTTTACTGGTTATTTTAATCAATTTAAAAATTTTTTTAAAAAGTAAATATATATCTACAAAAATTACACTATATGATTAAAATACTTTTTGCAATGACCCTTACTTGACAATAGAAAAATCCATTAGAGATGTACAGACTTCAAAATTGACTATAAAATATATTTAGGCTACTCTGATCATAGGTTTCAATCACGGGAGACAAGGGAGCTCCCATCAATTTTAATGAAATGTTTGTGCAAATTTTGAGTTATTACCAGAAAACTGTTTGCCGAGTTTTCAATTATTTCTACTTCTACAAATGCTCGAGAGTCATAACTCTAGTGATACTTACTCGTTGTTATCACAAACAGATATTGGTCTCTTGCCAATTTATATCGAAATATTCTCTATCAGCCTTGCATTGGATAAGGATCAATTGTTTCTAGAATTTTCTCATATATTCTAGATGAGTCTATGGGCAATTACGGTAGATATTGTTTCATCAGAAAAATCCTCATAGGAAATAATATCATTATACAAAAAGTGGTTTTTGATGCCTTTATGGCATTTCCTTAGGTCATAAAAAGATCTGTAATCTTTACATCTCTCTAGACTACAGACTAATTTCAGATTAGGTTAATGTGAAAATGATACATTTTCATTTCCATAGGTGACAGAATCACAAGGCTTGGAAAAGCGAAGTTCTACTCTAGATTCACGCTTCGTAGGCTAGTGTAGACTCAAATACTTTTCTTCTTCTATCAGATTGATAGATTTAAGCAGTGCATCACGTTTTTTTTGTACACAAGCTCATATGTTTTATTGTTTTCAGCAGTTAATAGTAACATTTTCTCAATCGAGCAGATTTAGCAAACGTTTTTTTTTAAAGAAAACATCGAGTTTTGTACAAGTAAATATTGAATCGTGCATCGTCAATGATTTGAAGCGGGAATTCATCGCTACAAGTGAAGAAGAACTATAAGAATAATTTTAGTCGGATTAACTGAAATCTTTCAATATTTTTGTTCACCTTCAACGACTTAGTTTAAATGCCGAGTAAACACATTCAACAGTGAAGAAATCCGCAATGCAAGATCTTTTTTTGTGAAAGATTTATGCTTCACTATTAAACTTTTCGGTAAAGAAGATCAGAATCTCGTCTTGTGTAGGTCACATTGTGATGAACACAAACACTCGTATGTTTCTTCAGATGCGCGTTGTTATTTTCATAAGTTGTAAAATTGAAAAGTTCGTCTTCTTTCAGTTTTAACTTCAAGATGAGGGTCTTATGAAATATGTTGAGCTTACCCTAGAATCAAAATGTTCCGCTCCTAATGATCATTTCATTAAATTAATTTAATTTTGATTATGATTTGTTTTTTGTCTCTTAGATCAACGGCTGGTATTGTTCTAAAAATTCAACATGGATTAGGTGAAATCATGACTGGATATAAAATAAGTTTTAATCTTGAATCTAATTTTAAAATTAATATTCATCAACATGAATATTTAACTTCATACATTTGGCGTTCAATACAAAAAGAAAATATTCTTTTTAAAATCGAGTATGAATAGAATTTTCTCTTTAAAAAGAACTTTTCTTTTTAATCTATTTAATCAATAGACAAGCAATAAAGCCATTAGTGAATCACAAACAAACCGTATCAAAAAAAACTGTTTTATCATCATCAGTAAAAGACTTTTGTTATATATTTCCACATTTTGATTCAAAAATTTGTTTATCATTCATTTTTGAACGTCTATGGCCTTCATCAGTTGCCGTAAGATTTCTTGATTTCATTAACCAAAAAAGAAAAAGAATTTTGTGGAGCTCGCATATATTTTCGAAGAAAATAGTGAATGATAGTTTTTGAAATTGAAGCTTTGCAGCTCTCTCATTCATCTTTGCCGATCTTAGCAACTGGTAGTAAAAGTCATTGAATACATTTCCAATGTTATCACATGTATAAATCAATTATTTTTTAATACTACTGGCAATAGCAGATACTTCAGCAAAAATAAGAGATTTGCATAGCGAACAACTTTTATTGAAATCTTATGTTAAAGAGAGAAACAAGCAAAGGAAAGAGAGTCGAATTAAGGTACTACTACGTGACACAAACAAAATTTTCTAGAGGAAGTAATAAATTTTTTATAATGAATAATTATAAAAGATATTTCAGTTCAAATCGTACATTAATCAATTTATTTAGTTTTTAAATATTTTGTTTTTCAATGCAAACTTTTTTTACCATATCATCTAAGTGAATTTTAAAGCAACGTTCAATATAAACTAAAAAATAAACACTTACACCCCCACCCTTAAAATGGTGTCATTGATGTTGCATCAACAGTTTCACTTAAAATAATTGTTTTATTTGTATTCAGAATAGTTGTACTATTACGTGTGTTACATTATTCTTGTTAATGGAATTTCTGTTCTTTTTTGTGAAATAATTAGAAACTTTGTTTTTGTCTGACACTTAGCGAATAAATTAGAAGGTAACCACACGGTTGTAAACGATAAAAAATAAAATACAAAAGACTAATAGGCATCTTCTTTCCATCATGGATAAAAAAAAAGACAAGAGAAGCAGTCTTTGATTTTCTATAATTATATAATATTAATTCATTGACTTTCAGCTTCTATAATAAAGACAAATATCAAATATATGTGATGAAAGTGTATCCACACAGATAGAATTAAACAATTTTCTAGCACTATTTAATAATGTTTCCATGTTAACCCTCAAAGTACTGAGATATCAAGAGGAGCAGTAGCTTCTTTTTGCGTCTCCGAATTTTTTTTAAGCGAAGCAATTGCATTCTATTGCTTCGTTGGTATGCCGTCTATGCTAATATGTGCACTTGTAATAGAGAGTGCAATGTTTTTTTCTTATCGTAGTTCGTGCTTCATCATCTATTTGTAACTGTTTCAATCTGAAAAATATCATTATAGTCATTTATTATTTCATCCATTTAGACCATTGTCGTATATATTTCTTTTCTTCTTCATATCATAAAAACAAGAGTGTTGCTATTTTTTGATGAAAAAAGAAAATGAGTTCTTTATCATAAACTAATCAATGTTATATTTAGTTTTATACATGAAAGAATTGATAAAAATTTAATTATATTGAAAATGATTTGAAAAATAACATTTTAATATCTTGTCAATAATTTTGATCACTATTAATAATCAAATAAATCTTTTATTATGTCAAACTTTTGATTTATTTCATTTCACTTGTTCCAAACTCTAAAATATAACGGATGGATCGGAAGTTTTGAAACAAAATATTTGTTTATTTTTTGATTCCTTTGAAAATGTTCCCGTGACATTAAGAGCCATGGATTAGAACCAGCATATTGCACATTTTTCGAATATGGCCTTATATATTTTATCTCAGTTTTTGTTTCAGACTAGTAAGAGAATCTTGGAAAGGGTTCAAAAACTTAGTTTTAATGGTAAACAAATTGGCTTTTGCTAATCCTTATAAATTCCTTTTTTGAAGATGCCAAAGAATATTTAAATCGATTGTTTTGTCGAGTGGACACTTCTTTAGAAAATTCTATATTGAACGAAGGTGTAATTTCTACCTAAATGAATCTATAGGGACTGCCAAGAGCTTATTTCTATACAAAACGTCATTTCGTTAAAAAGTCGATTTTTCTAAAAATGAAGATTAAAAAGAAACGAAAATTGAATTGATCTGTAGGAAAAAAAGAACTTCAATAGTACAGTTTGTAGGGTGACTTCTGTTCTACAACCTGATATATTAATAAAGGTGTGAACATTTACTTTTGAGTTGTAATAATGAAAAGATTTTCCGTTCAAACTCATTTTTGGACCTTTCAAAAGATCATCTCATTGGTCGCAAGAAAATTTCGAAGCTTATCATCGGAGCGAGCACAAACTACTGCTCACAATCTATAGCTTCTGATTCCTGAAAATACTTTCGAGGTAGTTAAAAATAAACAAACATTTTATCTCGAAAGTTTCAGTCTATTTATTATTTCATTATATAAAAAAAATTAAAACTAAATTATTTGGATGAGCTATATCGAATATGTGAGTTCCACATTTTCAGTCTCAAAGATGTTGTACTATCAAGCTGTTTTTTTTTAATTTTATTTATTAAATAGATTCGTTTACTTTCGGATGATTCATCACTTGTCTATAACTTAACTTCATCAAAAAATTTTATTTATTTTAATATTCAACAAGATAAACAAAAGTTATTCCGATCATATCGTTTCATACGTAAATACAATCAATATATATGGATACCTTATTATATTGAATTTTCTACACCTACAAGTAATTATACATCATTTATTAATTGGAATAACGAAANTTGGAGATGCCACCGCATCTCCCGCGGGAGATGCCGCATCTCCAGCGGGAGACGCGGCACCCACACTCGGGAGATGAGGTCATTCACCACTGGAGATGTAAGATCTCCTTTAGAGAGACGCATCCCCCACACCCACACTCGCATCTCTCGCGCGAGATGCGGCATCTCCCGCAGGAGATGTGGTGGCATCTCCAAAATCTTGGATATGTGACACTGCTGATCAATCGAGAGGCATGGTCGAAGCTCATTTGCTGATACGAGTTTAGCATAGAATTCACATTATGAGTCATTGGTTGGAGTACTTGTTGCAGTACAGCACAAATCCAAGACCGTAGAAAACTTTTATGCTAAAGTTTGATTTGTGTAATGACAAATTATATATTATTCAATAGAGCTCGTTAAACTGAATCGAATGGGATTATTTTCCCGTGTGGCACAATTTATCTAACGAATTGGGATATGAAACACTTCCTGAAATGCTAATTTTAGATGTACAACAAAATATAAATCTTCATTGATTCAATTTATCAGGGCTTATTATACATCATTAGATAGAGTTTGTTGAATTACATTGATTGATTCAAATTTGAAAAGTGGTACAAGTCGTGAATCGAATATTTCTGGAAAATATCTATTTTTCATTTTTTCCCCATGATGAAAAATTATATTTTATGGTTTTTTTCTTTATTGTGAATTTTGTTTTTAAAAGTAAATATACCATTCGATAAAGCTCGTTGAACTCTATCTGGCACACAACATTCCGTAGTTGGCACAGTTGATTCTGCGAATCGATCTAGAAAAAACTCGAATACTTCGCTAACTTCCCTTACATCTAAAAATTTAATTGTTCGACTTGTCAGAGTCTTCACGTAAGCTAGTTTTTTGTAAAAATATTTGAGACGCTTCAAATCTTTGTTGTAGTTTTAAATGTTTTCCATAAATCCAATATCTTGAACAATTATCAAAATCTTTTCGTATAACAGCTTCCTACTAATTTTTCTATTTTAATAAATGATATATTGGCTATTGAAGTTCTTGAAATTTATTTAGCAAAGGCACTAACCAATTTCCAAATTATATGAAATCATTTGGAAATGATTTAGTGGCTTCTTGTGACACCAATCTTGGTCCTGACGAACCTCAAAATTATCCTAACAATTACACTATCGGCAACAATTGTTCGGTTGCCGATATAGAAACTAATACTACTCGCATTGAGTAAGATTTATTTTGTTTTTCACATTATTATAACCTTTCGTAATTATTAACGTTGAAATAGATGAACCACTAATTTTGGAACTGTCTGATCCATTATATATTGATCCACACGAGTAAGCTAATATCGTTCATATTCACGTATTTCTCACAATATTTTCTGTTCAGATATCGTCTTTCAGACGACTTCAATAATAAACAAAGTCACTTTACCGCAATTATCGAAGCGAATGATGGCACCTATGTTCGCTTCAATGATATATCCTCACGAATGCTTTCCACATGATAACCTGTTATCATTATAGTTTACATTTGTGAGTTTAAGAGTTACTGCAGACCGAACATCTAATACTTATGCAATGTCATGTGCACGTATAAGTCTATTATCGTTCAAACCGTATGTTGGCTTTTTTTCTTCTCACGCTTGACATCTCATCCTACTTTCCCTTACAGCTGTGCATGCCTTGTGTATAAAAATATCATTGTAACTCTGCACTTGCCTTGTTTATTTTTCGAACTTAATAGCTATATACATGCACAAACGTTTCTCTTTAATCTCTACTTTTTCTTACTAACTTAATCCAAACTTTTGAATCTGCTTGCGCAAAAAACCTCACGTCTCTCATAAACGCTACATAGTACCATCTTGTTTCAAAACCTTTACAAATACTAAGCTTTTCCCATGTACGAAACTTGTTTCCAACTACACTTTTAATACTGACATTGCATTCATTGATAATGAGCTGAACTATTATCACAAAATCAAAAATTCAGATGAACTGATCGATGAAAGACGAACTTCGCCTACATTCAATAGTTTACGCCGTTATGAATGATAAAACGGTCTAAAGATTTCACAACCTACTATAAAACATTGAACTTTGTGAAAAATTGAAATCTTCTTACGAGATGTGGATATGAACTAGATTAATTGAGCTGCGTCGGTTCGTGAATTTCAGAAAACATTCTAGTACTGATTACCGTTAAAAATCCGCTAAAATCATGCATTTTTCCGTGACGATGACAATAACACAAAAACATTCACAACCGCATCCTCACGCATACCGATACAACCTTGATGTTCCATATAATGTTGATGTGCTTGAAAATCTTAATTTTCTTGCTACTAGAATTAAGTAAGCATGAAAAATAATGCAGACTCACGGTTTATTTCTTTGTTTTACAAAAACTTTGTCAAAATTAGTGTTTACAGTAGGATAGTGATCCCTAACACTGCCACAACATTACTAAATAATTCTTCAATAACAATATGCCACCATTATTAGAGAGCCCACCTAGGCATCGAACAAGAATGGTCGTAAACGGCCATATACGGAGAAATACGGCAAAATACATGATCCAGTATTACGATCGTATATCTTGGTATCGTTTACGGAGAAATACAGAGAGAAAAACGGTTGTTTACGGTCCTCGTATACAGAGTCCGTATATAATCTTCGTTTTGCTCCATAATTCTCTGTATACGATCATATATATCTGTGTACGATCACGGCGATATACGACCGTAATACTGGACCATGTAAATTGCTAAAATACGATCGTTTATGGTCGTTTACAGTCTTATGCGAAGTCCATAATCGTTGATCGGGGCGTTTAACAGTTCAGATGTCAATCTTCTAGAGAACATTTCGCTGATCGTAAGACGCAAAATTGGAAACAGAAAATCAAAAACATTGATGAGCTGAAACTTTTTGTAGCTGAAGAATTCCATATGTTGAAATTAATTTTGTAGCGAATTCTATGATATCCGTAAAAAACAGATACGTTTTTCTCTTAACTCTTCTAAAAATGAACGAATAAAACATTAAAATAATGTGTTCAATAGACTCGTCATAGATTATCAACCAGTATACGAAGCAACTACAGGGTCACATATATGTATATCTAAGGAGATATTTGTACAAGAAGATTTGCAGCTTTTCATTTTTATAATCGAGAACTTATTCAACTCTAGGAAATCATAAAGTCAAGAATGAAAACACTGTTGTATGCTTACGGCCATACCACGTTGAATACACCAGTTCTCGTCCGATCACTGAAGTTAAGCAACGTCGGGCTCGGTTAGTACTTGGATGGGTGACCGCCTGGGAATACCGAGTGTCGTAAGCTTTTTAATGTCTACTTTTTTTGTTCTTCAAGAACGGATCTGGATGATATTATTATTAAAATATTTGTTGAAAATTTATTCATAAAATTTATAGTATTAACATTCTGTATCTTTCGAAGGTTAATTTGAGATGTATTTCATTGCTTTACAAAGATTGATAAGAGAAAAAAAAGGACCAATATAAATAATATTTCCTTCTTATGTCTAAACTGACTTTCTTCGTCTTTCATTTGATTACTAATTCTCATATAAGACAAAACATAAAATATATTTCTTACAGATAAATATGAATTGAATATGATGATCCGCTAAAATATGGTGTAAGTTGAAAGGAGCTGGTATTCAATTCGTATGGCATAATTCAATAATGATCTTTTCGTATTACTTAGGTAAGAAATTCTCATACAAATGGCTGACATTTCTTCTGCCTCTTGGTACAATAGAATAGATCAAATATCTCTTTTGTTCCAGTTGGTTGATAGTTTATTTTATTATTATTTTTTTTTCATCACTAAAATAAGATTAGAAGGAGAAGAAGAACATCAATAACAGTAGTAATAGCAAACTTTCTCCCTACTAGAACAAAACAGAAGAGCACCAATCTATGCAATTAGAAGAACATAAACAAAAAAAGAAAAAGAAAATAATGTCAAGCACATGAAACATCGTCATAGTTGCACTTCGGCAAAATGATATTTTTATATACATGCACACACAAACAAATATTTGTAGGTAATGAGTACTAATTAAACTAAAACATGTGTATATCAAACAGTTACAAGAACATGTTATCAAAAGAAAAGACAAGAAATATCTCTTAGTGGACAAAAAAAAGTCATGTGTTTTATTTATCTCCATTTTTGATACGAATCTGGCTCGAAAAAAAAAGAGAAAGAAACACTGTTTGGTCGACATGAATGACTGCTTATAAAGGTCGCACATATGTAGCAGGAAAAAGACCAACATTGCCACGAACTTCACCTAAATAACAAAATAAAAACTAATACATGAAAATAAATGAAAACATTTGAATATAACCTTTCCACCAATTAGCATCACTTTGGTCTAACATACGAATGCGATCACCACGTTTTAATTCGATTTCACCTTCCTCTTGTGGTTGAAAATCATAAGCAGCTACATAATTTTGATCATTTGTTGATGAAGCAGGAGGTGAAACTGGTTGCTGCTGTACTTGAGTTTTCTGTGCTGTCCATTGAGTGTTTTGTTGTTGATTTTTATTATTCTATAAATGAAATCAAATGTCAGTTTATTTCTATTATTTTATTTCATTACATATGATGATGTTTGTTCTGATTGTGTTGATGAAATCATATCTTTAAGTAATAAATTTTGTCCACGATGAACTGATGTTGTACGATGATACTCAATTAATTCATTAATTGAATCAAATTTAATAGCCCATAAAAAATATTTACCCATACCATCACGTAAAATTTTAAAATGTTGAACTTGATCTTGATATCTAAATGATCATAACAATTAGAATTATTTAAAAAGAAATATTAAGATTATATACTTGACAGATAGTGAAAAATCGCCTGGCGATGATTCACACATGCGTACAAGAAAGGCACCATCAGGTTGACTAATTCGACGAGCATTAACATCTTTTTGAAGAAGAATTTTTTCAGCTTCAGCACGAGCAATTTTTCCATAATACCAACTAGAAAAAAATGAAAAAGAAAATATTTCCTAATTAAATCACTTTTTCTTTTCAATTCTCGAAAAAAGGAAACATGAAACTCAACTCTAATATAATACATAGCTTTCGAAATTGATTTATCGATAGAATGAACTATTATGATTATTAAATCATAATGACTTTTTAAAGTTACTACAGACATTAAAGCATACCAAACAATACAAGTAGATATGAACTTTTTGCAAAAACACTATTTTGTTCATTTTCCAATCAACTAAATTCGAAATTTCTTAACATTTTATACAAAACGATTTACTTACGCATTAGGAACCATATCAAGATAATTTTTTGGTATATATCCTTCTTGTCCTTTAAATTCTGCTTTATACCAATTCAAGTCTTCATCAGTATTGAGTATCTATACAATAAGAAATATATTGAAAAAAAAAACGAAAACTTTAATAATAATATAATACTTTAAGCATAGCTCCTTTTTGAAAACTAAGTTCATCATCGGCCGTTGCTTGAAAATCATAACGACCATAAGCTTGCATATTGTTTCTTCAATGACAAAATTCAAGAGAACATATAAAAATAAAATAAATATCTTCAAGAGAAAAAAAGAAAAAGAGAAGATAAGCTAAAACTAAATGAAAAAAGTTTTTATTTTTATTTTTTTTTTCGTTAAATTATTCTTGTTTATCAAAATATTCTTTCGATTTAATTGGATCAGGTTTAATTGTATTCGGATTTGTTTTTTCGTTCCAATCCGCAGGACATACTTCACCATATTGCTCAACATACTGAAACGCTTTTACAAGACGAAGAGTTTCATCAACTGATCGACCAACAGGTAAATCATTTATTGTTATTTGTCTTAGTATTTGTTGTTTATCAATAATAAATAAACCACGTAATGCAATACCACCATTATCATCAACTAAAATGCCATAGCGTTTTGTTATTTCTTTTGAAAAATCACTTAATAATGGATACTGAAGACCACCAAGACCTCCTTGTTTTCTTGGCGTATTTATCCAAGCTAAACATTAAAATAATAAAATGATAAAAATTTTCATTTGTTTTGGTTGAATTTACCAAGATGACTATGTACTGAATCAGTACTACAACCAATAATTTGTGTATTAAGTTTACGAAAATCATCTATACGTTCATTAAAAGCAACAATTTCCGTTGGGCAAACAAATGTAAAATCTAATGGGTAGAAAAATAATACAACATATTTGCCTCTATAATCCGATAATTGAATATCTTTAAAATGTCCTTTAATAACCGCTGGACCTTTAAAATCAGGTGCCGGTTTTGATATTGCCGGAAATGGATAATGACATGTTGTCATACGTGCTACATGTTCAAATGGACTAGCTGTTGTTATTTTTATTGCAAATGAATTCAGATGACGTAGCAGATGACGATACATAATAATTTGTTTTGTTTTTTTGTCTTATCTCAATCTAGCAATACGAAAAAAAAACGATTGTTTATAACATAAATTGAACTTTAATTGAATATTAAACGCTTGAACGAATTTATTCATCTTATGTTAAATGAAACTCATTGAAGAAAAAAGTCATAAAAAGATTCATTCGCTTTTGACACCTACCATAAATGAATATGGTGTTCTTGTTTTTTCTTATACGAGAATTTATTTAAGATAGAGGTCACTTCAAAGATTTTTATTGGACAAAAGAATTTTGTATTGTTTATTTGTATTTGTTGTATATACATTGAATCTTCTTTTCCTTTTTTTTGTCGGAGTAGAAAGTTGATTAGAACAGAAGAAAAAAAAGAAGATGAAATATCTGATATTTTATTGTTCATTTGTTATACTTACATTTTATGTTTTATCAGGTCGGTAATAGAAGATTTTGATAAATGAATTGCTTATTATAGTTGTTTAGTTGTATCAATAAAATGTTATGTTTGTAAAGAACCTGATAGAAAATGTCGTGATCCATTTCAAAATGATACTATTTTTTTGAAAGATTGCTCACAAATTGGTATGGGTAATGCCACAATGTGTCGGAAGTATATGTGGGAAAGTAAGAAACAAACGAAAGAAATATCCAAAGAGATAATATGATTGTAATTTGATATGTTGAATTTGTTTAAGTTGGTGATGGTACACGCTATTATATGCGTGGATGTGCTGTACGTGGTCGTGTAAGTCGAAAACAAGGTCGTGATTGTATTGAACGTCTTGGTATGTATCTAAACAGTAGATGTCAGAATATTGCATTGATTTCGATGATATTATAATCCGTTATGCAAAAAAAAAATAATTCTTAGAATGTTTCATGAGGAGGAAGAAGAGGCGATCGAAGATTTTGGTAAAATTTTTAAAATGTTTAAAATTATTTTAATAATAAAAAAATATTCTAAGCAAGAGAGAGAGAGAGAGAGAAAATTGATATGAAATGTAAATATATACTAATACTTATCAGAATGTATGTCATGATTATTTCATAAGAAAAGCTTTTTTGACACATAATGAGTATCAAAGCTTCAACAATGTTTTTTCTCAATTTTTTTCGGCTAAACTTCGTGCTAGAAAGAATCCAAATAGTGATTAGAATAGAGAAAATTTTTTTCACCAAGAAAATAAGGAAACAGAAATTATTCTCAAACATAGGATGTTCAAAAAAACAAAATATCTAATTTTTTCGCATCTGGAACGTGAAAATATTTTGTTTTATAATGATACAGGCAAAAAATTGACGTCTCCAAAATCATTACAACATTTTTTTGGATGAAATATATTTCTCTATCATTATAACTATTTTAAAATAAGTTATTTACACGTTATATGTGATGAAAAACTGGGATTTAAGTTTTCCGGAGGTCCCATCTATGAGAATAAGTTTTATTTCCTTATATCTTGGTCGAAAACGATTTTCTCTGTTTAAACGACTCTTTGAATTCTCTCTAATGTGAAAGTTAGGAGAAAAAATTGAAAAATAAACCTTGTTGAATAAATTTAATACTCACTGTGTATCTGTCAAGTGATGAAAAAGTAGAATGTATCAATATTGTATTGTTGATATTTGTTTTTTATTTATTTAGGTACATGGAAAACAAAAATGTGGTATTGCCAATGTGATAATAAAGATGGATGTAATGAAAGTACAAATATACGACTCTCATTTCTAACAATTCTATTTGGTATTATTATTTTCTATTGGCAACTGACGCAGCATATTCAATAGGATGACATTTTTTTTTCAAATATTGTATTTATGTATAAAGTAGTCAATTTTGCCACTATTAAACATTCCATTCAATTGTTCTGAATGTCTTTCTTTTATACTATGAATTTTAAATAGTTAGTACTTAGCTCTATATCTCATGACTGTTTTGTTTTGTTTTGTTTTTTGTATTCATATATTAAAAATGTTTTAGTAGAATGACGTAGATCTTTTTTTCTTCTTGTTTTTTGTACATTCCTAATATGTTTGTTTATTAATTTGACTTATCTGTGCAAATATGCGTGCTATCATTGTTTTTTTTTATTAATGATAGAACTCAATTTTATAATCAAATAATTTTATTCTGAAGTCAGTAAATATCATTGATTTTTCAATAAATGATCTGATCTTAAGTTTAGTGATGTTTTTTTTTATCTATTCATAATTTTCGTTGGTGATTACAGTTTAGTCAAATATTATATGTTCCTATTGTATACAAAACTACAACTCAAAAAATTTTCATCGTTTTCGTATTTCCCTAACACTTTGAAAATAACAAAATAGTTCAAAATATAATAAAAGAAAAATGTCTAATCTATTTCACTAATATCAGTAGAATAATTAAGGTGCTACGGGGATTTCTTTAAACCATAGGATTTATCTATTGATAGTATATACTACAATTTAACTCTACCAAAAGAGACCCATAATTCTTAATATACAGCCTTCACCCTTAACTAAGTGCTTGCCTTCAGCCTAGTGTTTTTCATTTGATGATAACATGCATAACAAGATTTAAAGAAAATTCCTTCAAAAAAAAACAAATCTCGGAAGTTGTTAGAAAAATTTGATCAATAATTCTGATGCACTTCATTGAAATTCTTCAAAAATAACCTTGTTTATATTTTTATTAATTTACGTTTAGTTTAACGATTTAAGCAAAATCAAATAATTTCAAATATATCATTTCTATGAATTTCATTGCCGTCAAATTGCGACCTCTGTAACAAACGTACTCCTTTGACCTGATTTATGTACTAATGTAATGGACACTAAGTTCCTTCATTCATATAAGTCTATCTTATAAGAATCATAGTGAATCGTTCTAATAGTTGACACGTCATCGTAAACAATTTTTTTTTATCTTATTATTTTAGATGGAACCGTGGTATTCAGGTGCCGTAGTTGATGCCGTACGTGAAGCTAAATCACGTCGAGCTCTATTCATTGTTTATGTTCATGATGATTCAGAACAATCTCAAACTATGGATAAACTCTGGTCGGATGTATGGACAAAATTAAATAATATATTACAAATAGTTGCACTTCGTCTAAACAAAGATACTGAAGCGTGTACACAATTTCAAGCTATTTATAAAATTCAAACATATCCAACAACTTATTTCATTAATGGTCAAAATGGGCAAGTTTTAAAAATGATTGATCAACCACTTGAAAATACTAATAAATTAGAAGAAATAATTCAAGATTCAATGAATATAATTGAACCAAAACAAGAAACAACATCAGCAACAGCAACAACAATAGTTCAATCAGCAAAAACTGTTGAAGAAAAAGTAATTAAGTTGAATAAAAAAATATATATATATTTGTATTATTAATAGGTAGCAGAAGCTCGTACACGTCTTAAACAACTTCAAGATAAACGTGATGAAGAAGAAAAAGAAAAAGAAAAACAAGATGAATTAGAACGTCGTCGCCTTGGACAACAAATGCTATTAGAGAAACAAAAAAAAGACGAAGAATTAATACGTATACAAGCTGAAGAAATACGTCGTGAAAAATTAGAACAACAAAAATTACAAGAAAAACTTAAAGCACAAATACAACAAGATCGAGAAGAAAAACGTCGAAAATATGAAGAAGAACAATCTTCAGCTATTCAACAATCAAAACCAAAAATAACAACAACAGAAATTCAAACACCAAAAATTAATTATGCACGATCACGTTTACAATTTCGTTTAACTGATGGATCATTTTTTACTGAAGATTTTTCACCAGATGCTCATATGAATGATGTTTATGCATATTTACAAGAAACTTTACCAACTGATCAATATAGAAATGGTTCATATATACTTCGAACAACGCATACACGTATCACATTAACAAGAGATAATCCAAATACATTGAAAGAACTTGAACTTGTTCCAACAGCTGTTTTACTTGTTCTTAATCGTGGTAATGCTATGTCACCATCAACTAATTTAATTAGTAATAATATTTTTCAATCAATTCAATTCATTTTTACATGGTTTATGATGCAATTTAATTTTATTTATCAATTCATTTTTGCAAAACTATTTGGAAATCGTACTCCGACACCACCACCAACACAACCAACAAGACCAACGACGAGATTAAATAATACTAATGAACCAAAATCAACAAAAAAAACAAAGGAAAATTTTAAAGTAGATTCAACAGAAAAAACAACTATTCGTCGTTTCCATAATACGCAAGATGATAGTGATGATGAAGAAAAACGTACATGGAATGGAAACTCAACGCAACAAATGTGACTTTTTTATTTTCTTCTCTTTATATAATAAATATATTCAGAAACACAATGGATTTTTTTTTTCGAAAATTATATTTCACAGTTAGTCTCTCATTGAGCTTTTTTTGCTATCAAAGTAAAATTTCCATGAAGAATATTTAGAAGGCAAATCTTCAATAATGCCACCGTAGAACGAATTTCGAACGTCTGAGCATCAAAGATTCATATGTGATATCTCTTGAGACTTCCGTGATTGTTAAAATTAAAAACAACATGCATATATCTACGATACTTTGCGCTTCCAAATCTATAAACAATGAAGAAATGGAGTGAAGATCAAAGTGATGAACAATTTATTCATCTTTGTATCTATATCAAACTTCTTATTTGTAGAATATAGTAAAAAGAAGGAAAGAAAGAAATATCCAAAATCAGTCAATCACACTATAAAAATTATAATTCTTACAATTCAATTGACTTCTTTTTAGTTTTATTTCAGTTTCAATCTTCAATAAAAGATTTATTGTGCGAGTCGCGAATGATCAGTTGTTCTAGAAATATAATATTAAACTTTTCAATAGATATCACGAAAAATGACTCAACTTACATTTATACTATCGTTTCTCTTGAATTAAAAATCCGGAAACTATACTCTTGAATTGATCGCCGAGAGAAAGATTAGAAATTAATTAGAACATCTTCTTCGACACCAATTCAAGTCAGACTTGACTTGACTTTCTCAACTTTGGATGATTAATATGCCAGTATAAAACCAAATACAAAAAAATCCATCCCTTCAGCTATTACGTATTATCAAACCGGTAAACAAACTCGTACTCTTCTCTTCCTAATATTTTGCAAGCGACTGAATACATACTTTTAGTATTAACTGTTATTTTAACTAAGAAGATATTGATTATATTGATTCTCAGAGAAACACATTAATATATATATATAAAATAATAATTTCAACAGTTTTAAACTATTTGACAAAAATTACAACTACTCGATTTATTTCTGCTACTAATTTTTTTCTTAATTTTTTTCTCAGAGCTTTTTGTTTCGAGGATTTGTTGTTGTTGATCGACAAGACTTTGTAAACGTGCTAATTCAACAAGTGATAAACTTTGATTTGTTCGTCGAAGAGAATCTTCTTGAAGTAATTTAAAAATTTGTTGTGATTCAACATTTGTTAAATATTTATTCAAGTTGATTAAACTGGAACCATCATAATCCGATAAAATACGAGACATTTGTACGAGATTATGTCCAATTAACCAATGTTGAATATCAGTCGGAGTCCAGTCTAAAATATTATCCGAAAGTACAGGTAATATGGATCTTGATTGTTGTATTGATAGATTAGAACTTATAATATTTGTCTCATCTTTAGATTCCCTACGTTGAAGATTATAATCTTGTAGAACAGGAGCTTTTAATTCTTTGATTAACACTTCCATAGATTGTGAAAATTCATATTTAGTAAAATCAACATAAAGTAATTGACCAACTAGAAATAATAACCAACCATCGGGTTGATAATGTTCTTGTAAAAGTATTGGAACAATTCTATTTCGACGTCGAAATGCATAATTTGCTTCTGCTCGACAATAATTACTTTTTCGATATTGTTCACTCATACATATTAGAATTGTATTTGATTGTTCAATTGCTTGTGCCATTGCATCCATAACATTACCATGTATTTGATCGAAATCAATCCATACACGATAACCTATTTTAATAAGCTCATCATATAATTGTTTACAGAAAATTTTATCTTTATGCGAATAACTAATCATGATATCGAACATTGTTTGATCATCTTTTTCTATTAATTCACGATCTTCATGCGTAGATTTTAAATTCCATAATATTCCATATGTAATTTTCCCCATTGGTTCATGATGTAATTCTTGTTTTAAATGAGCTAATCTAAGCATTAACTTTTGATTGGATCGAAGTTGTTGTTGAATGTCATGATTGAATGAAAGTGCCCACAGTATATCATATACTATTGGATATTGATCACACATTTCAATTAAAAATGACACTTTCTTTGTGTCAGCAACTTTTTGTTGTATTGCATCATTTTTTGCTAGACTTAAAAAACCTAATAAATATAAAATAATAGTCAAAAATTTCTTTTGAAATAATTACATAAATATAAATTTTCTTTTTCTTTTTGAAAAAAAAAAAAAATTACCCCGAAGTAATTGTGATGTTAATATTCGTTGAGACTTTTTTGTTGAATGATTCCCAGCTTGTTCAAGCATATAAAAGAAATATTCACAAAGATTATCAGTTATTTTGACTTGTTTTAAATGTTCATCACATAAAATTTCTCCTAACAAACCATATGCACATAAACTAATTCGATTATATACAGATGTTTCAGCTAATGGTAAAAGTATTTCTAATAAATTTGTTTCAAAACGTATAAAAGAAACTGAATCATATGTATGTAATATAGATAATAAAAAACTTAAGATAGTATCAATGAGAATAGTTTCATCATTAGATCGTTGAGTTTGAATTTTTTGATGAAATGGTTTATAACTAATTATATGGATTAGTGATTGTATATGTTCATGACATGTTTCTTCGGACGGTAAAAGTATTTCAGTGTATTTAGTTTTATCATCATCCCAACAACAATATACACAAATAAAACTCATTATATATGTAATACAAGCAAGTAATTCTTTACTCCATGATTGAACATTAAAACTATGAATATAAATTATATTTAAATAATCTTTTGCTAAATACTGAAGAATTTCATCACCAGTAAAAGGAAACTTTTGATTCTTGCCAAAAGAATAAGAACTTATTGACAATGAACATGTTTTCATATAGAATAGTTGTTTATAAGTAAATATTGATTGTGATATTTGTGATGTTTGTAATTGAGTTAAATAAAATTTATATTGATCAGTCATAATAAATTTACATGCAATAGAATAATTGATATCAGTAATAATTGATGATATTACAAATTGTGTATGTTCATGAATGAAATATGAAAGATTATCAAACCAAAGACTAATTATAATAAAGTATGGATCATTTTCATTAGTACTTCCTTGAATTTGTTCGAAAATACCATTAATCAAATCTGTTGTTTCAGGAAAAAGAAGAGACGCTTTTTTATCAGAATCCACTGCATCCAAAGTAAAAATTAAGTTTTTATTAAATGAAGCAAGATTATGAAATAATTTTAAATATTTTAATTGATTTATCCATTTGTATGAAGTTTCACTTAAAATTTTCCATGCCCAATGTTCAAGTTTAAATAAAGAATCAAAATTTTCAGAAATAAATTTTAATAAAAACTGAACGTCTAATTCTTGAAGAAGATTTGAAATTTTAGAAAGAATATCATCGGATAAAGTTGTTGTTGTCAGTGCAGCAACAAGGTCTTCTATATTTTCTTCCATTCCTATTGACTAAGATATAGTATTGTAAATAACAAATGCTTTTGATAAATTACATTTGTACATAAGGCTACCCATCAGTAATAGACATGTTCGTTCTATTTCTCTTGACTACGAAAAAACTGCTTACGTTGTACATAATGGCTAAATACTAGAATATATGTGACGTACTTTTGTTTTGTTAATAGACATGAGTCATTGCTAATGTAAGTCGTATACAAGAATCCGTAAATGATCGAAAACGGCTAAAAGCGGTTTCCATGAAGAGAATCGCCCACGATAAATTCTAAAGCAGAGACATATAACGATAAACGATATCGTTACGACTGTTATCTATTGGACTTTTTTACATTGAATAAAAGAAATATCTTAAAACCATTGTTAGACAACATTATATGATCTATAATGGATAAATCTTGATGATATTGTTTGTCATTGCTTAAATGTATCATTCTAAACCTCTTATTTGCGTTGCTTTGCTGACATAGAAATACAATTCATCTCTTTGTCTTTCTTTAACTTTAAGTTTTTGTTAATCTAATGTTCTGATTGACTGTTTTGGATTTTTTTCTAATGGCAATCAATAGATTTTATTGAGACTTATTCGATAAAATGACGCGCATCCTTTCAAAAACAAATCTTTGTATTATGCTACACCATAATAATAATAAAGCTGATAATTCATTTCTCGAGAAAAAGTACTCACGTTGTACATATGCTTATTTCATCAGATTTTATTATAGGTAAGCACCACAGAGGAGAAGAATAATTCTTTTGTATTTTAAATAATCAATTTAAGATTTATTCAAGTTCTAATCCTCATCGTACGTGTTTTATGTGTAAATAACAGCTCATCAAAATCTTAATACATTGAAAAACGGTCGTCACTTTTTATTGTTTAAGAAAGGAATTAAACCTTTTTGTAGTCTTTTCTGATGTTTGGAATGATTATTCTGAGCAGAAGTTACGTTTACTTAGAACAAATTTTGCGTATTATAACTTTACAAGAGTACATAATGACAATCGATATAATAAATATTTAAATAGAATAATTTGAATAAGAATGACACCCACGTCTCTAGTCAAATATATTAAAACATGTATAAGGATTTTATATGCTACATGAAATTAATTATATAAGTATTCAAATAATGCGTTCATTTTTAATAACTATCTAAGCATTTTTATTATATCGTTGACTTGATAGAATTGAAAATGATTTTTTAAAGTGAATTTCCACAATTGAGTGAACCTCTTAAAAGTTAGAGCCAACTTTGTACGCAATGACATACTAGTGTATATTAGTAAATGATCTTTTTCTAAATAATGAATACATCTATCATATTTAAAAAAGGATTCAAAATAATACTAATTCTTATATACAGAATTATACAAGTTGAATTAAACAGATTTTTTGTGATTAGTTATGAAAAACATATCTCATACAGTAACTCATAAAAAAGAAGTGTACGAAGTTACTCAAAGTTATGTGCTATAGTTTAAACTGACAATATGTTTTACGATATAGAGTAGTTTATATTTGCTAACGATTGATATCATAAATATATTTATCTAAGATGGTATATATGTGCCACAGTTTAATTTGAACTTTTCGCATCATAGTATTTACTTCATTGAGGAACCTTGCATTATTTATTATATCATACAACTTATTGCCAAAGAGTAAGTAACTGTTATTTAACTGTTCGTTTTTCATTTTAGTGAACGAGAATAATAAGATTGAGGTGATTTTATTTTCAGGCAATGATTTTTATGAACATTTTGCCATTCTTAGCTTTTGCAATTTCTCTAACTTTCAACAAAATTGTATCGCTTAGTAGCGTAAACCAGGACTATGATTGTGAAAAGATTTTACATGATTTGTGTCTTGAATAGAAGGAGGAGCTCTGCCTAGTAGAGGAACTTTCTGCAGAATTTAGCGGACGTGTCTTCGATCGATTAGAACAGGGGAAAGCGTTGAGCGTTCCCTAGCCTTCCTTGGTTTCATCACCACGATCATTTCCAAATAAATTTTTTTTGAGTCATTTTTTGAATGAACCAAACCTTTCTCTTAACTCACATAGAATACATTATTATATTTAGAGTTTGGTATTATACGAAGGTTTATTTTAATAATTTGATTTTTTAATGTTTGTCTGTAACATCAAAAGATTTAACTCTGTATTCCTAAAAATATGTCTCTAATAAATGTATAAAATTATTAAGTTATTTGACAACAAAACGAAGATTTTCTTTTTAATTTGCCAGTTTTCACTTTTGCAGGTTTGGCAATGATGCTAGATGTCAAATGTTGTTGTTGTTCCAATAGAGATCGAAAACGAGATAATTCAACTAATGATAAATTTTGACTTGTTTGTCGAAGAGAATCATCTTGCAATAAAGATATAACTTGTTGAGGTTCAACATTTTCTATGATTTCACTCATATGCATTAAACTTTTACCATTAAAATTAGCAAATAAACGAGACATTTGCAACAAACCATGACTAGTCAGCCAATCATCCACCTGTGTTTGATCCCAATCGAGAATATTTTTTGGGAGCATTGACATTGACGACGGTTCTGGTGATATAGGTGTAGTGGGAATGATAGCATTAACTCCTTCATTCTGATAAACATTTATAGAATCTTTCTCACTGATGCCTGAAATTTTTAGTTCTTTGATTAACATTTCCATAGCTTGTGAAAATTCATATTTAGTAAAATTTATATAAAGTAATTGACCAAGTAGAAATAATAACCAACCATCAGGCTTATAATGTTGTTGTAAAAGAATTGGAATGATTCTTATTCGACGTTGAAAAGCATAAGTTGCTTCTGCTCGACAATAACTACTTCCTCGATATTGTTCACTCATACAAATTAGAATTGTATTTGACTGTTCAATTGCTTGTGCCATTGCATCCATCATATTACCATGCATATGATCAAAATCAATCCATACACGATAACCAATATTTCCAAGTTCTTTATAGATTTGTTTACAAATGATTTCATCTTTATGTGAATAACTAATCATAATTTCAAAATTTCTTTCATCACTGATTGCTGATGTTATATGATTTTCATGATTTATTTCCAAGTTCCATAATATTCCATGTGCACTTTTACGTATTTGATTATCATATTCTTTTGGCAGATGAGCTATTTTTGTTATAAATGAAGCGCTGGAACGAAGTTGTTCTTGAATGTCATGATTGAATGAAAGTGCCCATAGAATATCATATATTATTGGATATTCATTACATATTTCAATTAAAAAGAACACTTTCTTTGTGTCAGCTATTTGCTGTTGAAAAGCATCAATTTTTGAAAAACCCACCAAACCTAAAAATGTATTCACTAATGAAATTCCACAGACAATTACAAATGACTTACATTTGAATAAAAAAAATATTGGTATTTGTTTAAACTTTTTCGATGGATGTTGCCATGCTTGTTGAAGCATATTAAAGAAAAAACTACTTGCACTATCAGAAATTTTTAATTCTTTCAATTTTTCTTCACATATAATCTCACCAAGTATTGCATATGTACATAAACGAATTTTATCACAAGTTGATACTTTAGCAATAGTCAAAAGTGTATCTGGTAGCGAAGCCTTCGAACGTAGAAACCAAAGAAAGCCTCCATTTTGTGCTACAATTATTAAAGAAAATAAAGTTATATCGAAAAGAACTGTTTGATCATTTAATCGCGGTATTGTAATAGATTCATAAAATGTCTTATGATCAATAATATGAATAAGTGCATCGATAAATTCGCAGGCTGATGATTCAGTTCGAAAAACTATTTTTCCTAGTGGTCCTTTTTCTCCTCTCCACCAACAACAAGAAGCGAAAAAGGCCATAAGATGAGCAATACAACTCAGTAGTTGTGAGCTCCATGATTCTATAGTATAAATATGGAGAATAAGTATTTGTACGTAATCAGCACCAAAATGATGAAGTAATTCTTCAGGAGTATAAATAAAATCTTGACCTTTTGAAAATAGATATAAACTTAAAGAGAGTGAACATGTTTTAATATAGAATAACTGTTTAGTGGTAAATATGGATTGTGATAATGGTGATTGATGAAGTTGATTTAAATAGAACTTATACTGATCAGTCATTACATAGTGACGTGCCATATAATGATTGATATGATTGATAATAGTGGACACTTCAAATTCGGGATTAGCATAAAAAAACTCGGCCAGATTGTCATACCATAGACTAACTATGCTAATAAATGGATCATTTTCATCTTTTGTCTTTTCAATTTTTTCAAATATAACATTAATACAGTCAACGGTCTCAGGTATAAGTAGTGAGCCTTTAGTATTAGCATCAATATCATCATGATTAAAAATTAAATTCCTATTAAATAATGCAAGCGTATGAAATAATTCTAAATATTTTGGTTCTTCAATCCATTGTTGAGAAGTTTGACTGAATAATTCCCAAGCCCAATGTTCGAGGATGAGTATTGATTGATAGAATTGTGATATAAATGATGATAATAATTCAGAATTTTGTTTTTCTAAAGCATGTCTTATTTCACAAAGAACATCATTGTATGATGAAGATGTTTGAAGTGTAGCAATAAGTTGTTCAAAATTATCTTCCATTGTTAGCGTTTACAATACTTTTTCTAATGCACACATCTACTGTTTGTTCTATTCATTGATTAGAAGAAGAGTGTGTTTTTTATCGATATGTATTATTTTTGTTTTTTTATTCGGTTTGTTATTTGTGATTAAAGGTAAATAATCACATGATAGGTAAGAAAAAAAAGCTAAGACGCCACTTATGTCTACTTCGGGTTTAGTAATAACAAACAATTCTGTTGCTTTGATGGAGGGATGCGGGGGAGAGAAAAAAGTGGAAGGGTGTCACGAAATTCTTTTAGTTTTGAAAAAATGAATATACAATTCTTTTGAAGAGTGGAGGGGATGTCAGACATTTTTTTCATTTAAAGATCTTTTTTTTTAATAGAAAAAACGATTTTGGCTTGAAAAAAACAAAAAATTTCTAAAAATCAGTGGGTATGCACTCCCACAGTCGCTGCATCTCTGGAATTTCTTGCCTCCAAAAATCTGATTAGACAAGAGATAGACAGGACAAGCATCTGATTGGCTGGATTTATAGTATGAGAAAACCTGGTTGGACGAGAGCTAGATACAGGCTTGTGACAGACAGCTTACAGCTGTAAGTGCTGGTTTTTTTGAGAACTGAGTCCAGTGACCAGTTCCTTTCATGTGGACTCTATGTTCTAATTATGATAATGTAGCAATTCTATCCACCACTTGCTCCATTTGTCAAAAGGAGAACTGGTGACCAGTAGCAGTTGTTTTGAGAAGAACTGGATGAGTGAAACCCGCTGAGTTTCTTGGTCGCGAACTGTCACAGGTCTCATCAAACTCTAAGTAACTCTGTTTATACGTCAATTTTTAGAACGAAGTTTGGTTTACAAAATGCCTAATTCGCTTACCTTTTTACAAATTGCTACAAGTGACCGAAAATCTGTTGCATTTTGAAATATCAAAATTGAAGAAGAGGTAATTTTTTTTAGAAAAATGGCGTTGGATGTAAAGAGAAGCTGTTGCAAAAATGTTTGTAGAACCTTCAATTGTACACCAATGTGGACCAAATTATGATTAAAAGTGATATTATTGTTCTTTGTATGAAATATTCAATATTAAGATAATGTTTGTATAAACAAATAAAAAACTTCACTACGTAAAATCATATAATACAAGTATTGATGTTGTTAGAAAATATCTGTTTATCCATCTTTACAGCTAACATTTTCAGATGGAGTAAGAACATTGTATTTATGCTTACCGACATTCATTGATGGTAGTCGTCAAGCGTTTTTCGCTGTTCTTTGAACAATTCTTTACATACAGACGAAGAATGTCTCGTTTTAAGTTCCTAAATGCACTGGTTTTTTTATTTTTAATAAAAAATATACTCGAAAAAAGTCGTTCGAAATTGCCATGCATGTCAAACCTGAATGTTGAATTCAACTATTTAATAATCCTATGAACATTCATTGGGGCGTCTCTATACAAACATAGGCCCAATTAAGTGTATCATGTTTGCATTAATGTTGAGAAAAAGCTACTGCCTTTGCATTAGCAGTAACGATCAAGAGAAATGCTTCAGTATTACTTTTCATTGTAAAGAATCTGTTCGTTTACAGATGCTACCCTGCCCTGATCACTCAAGCGTCTCGGACACTTCTTCGAGCGTCCTAGGGAATGATTGTAGCATTTCAGGCAGTACCTGTATCATCATAGGTAATGCATGTAGCATCCTATACGATGTTTGTAGCACCGAATAATTGAATGGTTGAATAGTTGAATATCTGAAAACGTCTTCAATAATTAAATTCGCCTTTTAGATTTGACATAACTAGAGAAAAGAAACATCCTATTGAAAGAGTTGAGTCAATTTTAATGATATTTCAGAAATAATCAATCTAAGGATCAATAGTCAAAATTGTTCGACTTCATTAATGAAGTACATTAGATTCACGTTTGATAGAACCGAATTATTATGCGTACAAGGAAGATCTTTTTTCTATTATTGTTTATCTTTATTGAAAACCAATCAATGTATTTTTAAATAAAAGTTCAATAGAATTTCATATTATTATTGTACAAGGGAAGCCACAGCAGAAACGATTCTAGTAATAATTGAAATAAAAATTTTAATAGTCAATGAATGATCAATAAGCATACCAAGTAATCTAATAGAGTGGTGATCAGTAACACCTTCCATATGTTCAATAATAATATTAAGATAATCACAATTAATATTTTCTTCTTTATGAGCAAAAATTGATGTACTTATTTTTTTTTCTTCAATTTCTTAAATGTCTCATCAAATCATTATTTATTTACTTAAGTATTTATTTATTAAAACAACAACAACAACAATAACAAATAAGTTTATAAACGATGAAAGAATAACAATACCAATAAGATACCATATAGTAAGTAAATCAGTTGAACGTTCTTAAACAAATGTTCTTATTATTGCTGTTAATATTAATACGATATCAAAAAGTGAAGTACGTGCCATTATTGTCATTCATACATGATTTTCATCGATGTTTCCAATTATGTGTTGAAAGAAATGAAAAAATTCAAGATTTTCTTCTCGACGCAAATTCAAATAAAATTGACATTCAAAATCGACTTGTGTTGTTAAATCTGTACTTGATAATAATAAATTAAGATCGTATGATACACTTAAAGAATTGTTCACGAATTAGTGAAGTAACTAGAGGAAAGGGGGCTACATGAAGCTCATTGTCTCACTAAAAGGCTTCAAGCCTCTCCCGACTACATCTGCGATTGAATTGCATTTAAAAAGTGGATTGAGCCTCCTCTAGAAGCGTTACCAAAGAGCCTTCGATCTCTCTACAGGCATGGCCAGGTAGCTGAGTTTCTTTCTTCCTGTAACTTTTTTCTAGTTAGAGCATTATCATAAACGATATCTTGTCGCTATTTCTTGATTGTTCACCTCTCTGATAATTCCATTCAAACGTATTTTCTTCATATATTTCTGAGCACAGTTCAAATTTGATCGATCACTTTTTCAATTTCATGTAACTTATTACATTTCGAAAGATTAATCACCAACGAAGTTCTTGGTTATGTCAGCCAACAAGTTATTATGTTTTAGTTTAAGGTCAAACACCAATTAGTTATGATGAAACGCATTGGATCTTATCTGATTAAGAAGAAAATAAAACCAAAATCCTTAAGTCATAGGATTTGAGATTTGTATAGTGCTTAGAAAACAAAGTTAAGCGATGTAGTACATAGGTAAGTACCGCATAGTTTCTGAAGAAAGGCCTTTTCTGTCTATTTTTCTATCGTATTTATCATATTATTATATTTTTTAGGAAAAAATAGTTTCTCTCATCAATATCCACATATGTTCAACAATGAAAAAAATTATATTGAAGAATCATGAAAGAATATCTTGTCTCGAAAGACATAACAAGATGTATATCAACTAATAAAAGTTCATATTTTTTCTAATCTTATTTTAAAGCTATCATTGAAGAAAATCAAATCTAAAATATTATATTAATCACAATGGTAATCTCTGCTGAGTTCTAATGCATACAGGGTCTGAAAAAAAAAACTTTTTCAATGACTTGAACAGTAGGAATCGGTGACGTTTTAATGTCAATCTACCTTAATATATTTCTAGTGATGATATCATTAATGAATAGTATTTAAATAATTGGATGTACTTTAAATCATTAAAAGAACTAATATACTATAAAAATAGATGAAACTACAACATATGAATAATGAATCAATTTAATGCACCATAGAATGTTTGTTGAAGATTTATTTAATTTAATAATTTGATAAACAGTTGCAATTAATGGATCAGTTGTTGCAAGTGGAATAAAAGTAATTAATAATAAAATTAAAACAATTAATTGAAATAAACTTAATTGAATGTAATTTATTTTGCTTGATGATTTGATTATTGATTGCGCTATAAATTTTTGAAGCAATGTTACATGTAAATCATGAATTTGTTTTCCTAAAATTTTATAAAAAAGCGTATTATTTCGGTTTTCAATAAAATATTTTGATGGTTTCGTATAATTTGGTGTTGATTTTATTTCAAGAATTTTTTTATTTAAAAACGTTTTTCGATGAAACGACGATATTTGATAAACATGAAGAATAATCAAAATTGAAAGCATTAATAATAATGGCCAACAAATTTTCATTTGATTTGCTTCACTTGATTGAATACCACGAGAATAATAAATAATTATATTAAACATCGGAACAATGAGAACAATCGAACAAAAATAAATAATTAAATCGATAAAAACTTTTTTATTGATATCTTTTTTTTCTCGAAATTTTTCTGACATTGTGTTACACAGATAAAAAAATTTCTTGTAAAAAGAATAAGTGAAAAAAAGAACTTTTACCAGATGGATTAATATCTTTTGACATAAAACTGTTGTTGTTTCAATTTTTGTTTATTTAGATTAAGAATTAGTGAAAACCTCAGTATTTTATCTGAGCATTAAAGAGACTTCAGCATAAATTCATCAAGCTTTTCTTGAAAACGTGTCATCATTATAATTCTCATTGTTTAGCAAAGGTAATTAACTCGCTCGAATATATTCAAAAAAAGTATCACCAAATAAGTGTATACTATCATGATAACTATAGGGGTGTGGGTAGGTAATGTTTTAGATATTATTTGTTTTCGAGATGATCTATGAAAAAAAAGATGCTCTTTGATGAATTTGTTTATTGTCGTCAGTATACCAGGTTTTATTAGTTTTTCGGAACATTGAAATTGTTGGTGAAGAAAGTTCGTGTAAAAAATCACCCAAACTTTCAGTTTTAGTAAAATCAATTATTTGATCGTAATTTAATAAAACCAATTGGTAATAAACTTGTTCCTTTTCGACACTTTTTTTCGCTGACCAGCTAGAAAAAATCTGCTAATGAGCAATTAAGAGCAACATTGATTAACGATTTAAATTTTGACTCATTGGTTTCACCGGAAAATTGAGGAAATATTGAATATATTCTATACGAAATTTTGATTTGAGTCATGATGAAATGTGAAAGTATTCTTGACGTCAGTATTTGATCATTAAAAGAAGGATTTATATTTGTATACTTTTTTATGAAAGAATTCTTATAGCTCATTCTTTTTTTCTCTCGCACGATTTCAGTTTAGTATTAATGATAGTCTAGATCAATATTGTCTTAAAAAAAGAATAAATTCAATAAAAAACGTTTCTTTGAGTTACAACTAATCACGAAACAATTTTCTTACTCTTCCAAGAATTTCTTAAAATTATATATTATGAAACCCGTAACAGTGTTTTAATGCAAATAAAGACAATTGTTGGATTCCTTATTCATTAACAAATTTAATACCGTTATATTTCTCTTTAATAGTAAATTATCATGTAAAGTTGAAATTTTGTTTTTATCTCTAATTATATGACATATGAAGAAGAAGAAATTGCAAAGGAAATGACAATTTCACAAGATTTTTCTATTAGATATCAACTGAAAATAAGATGAACAAGAATGATATTTGATATGCTTCATAAATTAAGTTTGAAGTCAAATCAATGAGTTGTAAACATCAAATCGGTAATCTAAACTGAGTTAATAAATAAATGAGATCTATAAACGCGATATTCTAAAATTTTGTCGATATCTTCTATTTAGACGAATTCCAATGTTTGAAATTTATTTTATTAGTTAAATTCAAGATGTGTGTTCTGCAGAGATAAAATAATTTAATTAAGAATATATTTCGTATTTAAACTGAATTTAATATATCATCACACTGCATTGATCCTATTTTCTTGACAAGAGAGTTCCTATTGAATTTTTTTGTGCCATTTATATTTAATAGTATGTGTTTAATATCATTAATTTATTTAATTTACTACTTCTATTAAATATTTTGATGTTTATATGAAGGTTTTTTCTTCGCTCAAGAGAAAACAATGTATTCTCAGACAAATTATTCTTTAAAAATATTTACTTTTTCTCACAACTAATTTCAAAATAAATCATTTAGTTAAAATGAGAATTTCTATTTGTTTTTATTCCATTTTTTTATAGAAATATTTTTGGAGGTCTAGGTTTAAAGAGACAAAAACTTAATTTTACAGAGCAATGAATAATTGAACTGAGTATTTATTTTTGCAACTCTTTAGATCTCTAAAAATCATGGTTGACTTAAATTTTTACTGAAATTTTCATATATTAACTTCGGTATAAATGCATCATTTCTGAATCGATCGTGTATTGCTTTGTGATTGATTTGCTCAAGAAACAATTAACGTTTATTTCTTCATGTCGGCATTGATATTAACGCCGGAAATAGTCAATCTACTAAGCAGAAGCAAAATATACAGAATATCTGCTGTTTGAATATACACACTGTTTTACACGTTGACGTGATCTGTCTTCATATGTATAGAGTCACATTGAACAACACTGATTAGCTAATGTGTTAAGTTCCTATTTCAAATACAACAAACGACAAGAAAACATTATCTACACTATGGCTTGAAATTATCTCCAACAAATACTCCAAACATAAGGAAAATCTTTGGTCTTACTATAATAAACTATTTGAATACTTTATCATTCTGTAAGACAAAAAAAAAACATTGTGCATGCGTCGAATGACAGAACTTAAAAGATAACCATCTACTCGTTTTAAATGATTACCCATGTTTTCGTTCTATTTCAATGTTGAATGTCTGGCACAAACAACCCATGTTGCTTATCGAATCACAACAAGCTAGTTGCAAGGTTATCTTGAATCATTTAGTGTTTTTTTCAAAGCGGTTTTCTGACTTTCAAGATATGCAGTGTAGTAGTTATTATCTTATCTCGTGCAAACTATGAAACAGAGTGAGAGGACAGAGTAGAGTCATTTTTATTTAGTGTTCGTCATTCATCGACAACAGATGAATGAGGACAACTCACTTTATTGTTCGTCGGATGTGAGATTTTGTGCATTAAAATAAAGTCGATATGCACATAGATTTTTCTTCACGTTATCTTTTTCAAATCTGTCACCCTAGGTCAAAGGTCTAGAGCAGAAAACGGTCATATTCTATATGTTGCCAGCGAATTTCGGAACCCAGGTTCATGATTCCGGCACTCTGATCCATGGACTTTCTGCTGAAGCCTGCAGGAAAGGCACCATTTCCGCCTGGAAAATGATAGAAACTTGGAAGCAGGGTGTGAATGATCACATCTTGTTACCGGCTTTGCACGATTTCGATCGATTCCAGCTGCCGTTGTCGGTATGATTCCTGACTATGGTTCCACTGTTTTTATCACAATAGCAAGATATGCTCCATAGTCCATCGTTTTCGGTCCGATCAAGAAACTCGGATCCGGTTATTTTATATTCGGCTGTAGAACTCGAATCCAGCAACAGGATATGATGACAAGATACAATCTATAACTTATTCTGTTCAGTGACATAACATCAATAACTTCCGGCAGATAAATAGGTGGCTCGTGTAGAAAGGGATGTGAGCGTATGTAGTTGCGGAAGGTGAAAAAATTCAGGCACGATCACAACGACACCCACACCTACACAGCAAAACTGCACTTAACACCGATATTCATACCGACCTAGCAGAGTGTTAAGCGAATAAGTTAACCATTTCCATATAATTTTGAATCATGATGAAAAATTGGTTTTTAAGAGTTCGCTTTACCCCAACATGTAATGTGTTAGGACATAGGAGATGCCGTGCATTCCTCTCACTTCTAACAGAGCACTAGATCAGTAAAGTATTTTTATATGATTTTTAATCATTATGGAAAAATGATTTTCAAGATTCTGTGTTATTGCAACATGAAATGTGGAAGTATAGAGAGATGTCGATTACTACGTTTCCAAGCACGAAAAGGCATTTTCAGTTTTCTTTTCTGTAGTTCTTGCGGGAAATCAGCTAGAACATTTGGAAAACTAGATAATGACGAACTGAAATACACCAACCAGTCGTTCTTTAATATCCGCCAACAGATAAGTCGAAGAGAGGAAGAACACTATGCACTCAAATCAAATAATTAAAAAGTCTGCTGAATGGTTTTCTGTGACCGCTTCTCATGAAAATGAAAATCACTGTAATGGCAAATCAATCTGGTGTCAGATAAAATTGAAAGTGTAGTTTTATTAAAAACACCAAACATCATTTGAAGAAGATTTTAAAAATATTCTGTTTTTCCGTGGTTGTACGAAAAACTCAATTTTTTTTCCATTTCTCTTTTATGCTCGTATACCCTTTAAAACTGTACGAGTATTTTAGTCTTTTCATTCCCTTTCGATTTCTTAGTCCGTTCGACTTCTTTTAGTCTCTTTAGTTCCTTAATAATTATTGCATGGATGTCTTATACAATAGCTATTGTTTGTAACCAAAAGCATGGCTCCCATGAAGGAAACTATGTTGACGCTTAGTTTTCTTTTAGACAAATATCTATGCCTATTACCTAGTTACTAGCAAATTTTTGTAAAGAAGAAATTATTAAGAACTTCAAAAAATTTATTTCTTACATGATATGGAATATCCAAATAAGCATGATAATACAAAAATCGAAGAAGCACAGCTTGATTCTGAGCACATTCGTGACGAACAAATTATATTGGTAATACCGACTGTCGTAGATGATACAGTCAAGCTCAAACGATCGATTACATGGTTGGATGCATTTTGGGTATCAAATGGTGTGCCTGCTCTTGTTCTTTTTCTATTGGTGCTATTGCTGCAACTGTTGGAAATCTATCATGGTTCGTTTGGACAATCTCTATTATTATCGGTTTTTTGCAATTATTTGTCTACGCCGAAATTGCTGGATTATTTCCAAATAAGTAGGGTGGCGTATCAGTCTACAAAGCTATTGCCTGGATACGCTATGGCAAGATGTTGGCGCCCATTTCTGTCTGGTGCAATTGGTATGCTTGGTCATCGGTTCTAGCAATCAGAACTGGATTAAGTGCTGGATACATTCTCAGCATGTTTGATTCTGATTCGCTGGTAAATGCATGCCTATTTAGAATTGTTAGCCTTAATTTCATTCAAACAGATCTGTCATTGAGGATCAATTCAACTTTTATTATTGGAGCAATACTGTTTGTTAGTAGTCTTCGCTATACAACATCGAGGCATTTTGTCAGCTGCTCGCATTCAAATGATCTTTGCTATCTCATCATTACTGCCTTTAATTGTCTTAGGTACAGTGCCGATTTTCATCGGTAAAGTACATAATAAAAATTTTCTTCCATTCGCCCCTCTTATACGTAATGCGACAAATAACGTCACTACTGGAAGTTGGGATAGAGCAGGCATGACGTTATTTTACTGGTGGTATGTTCATCGCTGCTTGGTCGACCTATGGTTTTGAGACAGCTGTCTGTTACACAAGTGAATTCAAAAATCCAGGATCAGATACATTCAAGGCGACATTATCTTCCGGTCTATTGTGTCTGTTCGTCTTTTCCTTGATTCCGATTATATTTCAAGGAACTCTCGGTCTTAAAGGAATAGGAGTTGCCAAGGCGATGGCCGAGATGATCGGAAGCGGTAAGGCAATGGTCAATGTTGTGGTTGTGCTGTTGTTGTTATTGCTTCTGCTCTCGATCATGACTGCTATGACAGGCTCCTCACGTACGCTTTATCAGGGTTCCGTTGATGGTTGGCTTCCAAAATTCTTGTCTCATGTCAATCAACATGGTGCACCTACGTCTGCAATGTAGACAGATTTCAGCTTCAATCTCGTTCTCTTGTTAATGTCTGACTATGTGTTTGTTCTAGCAGCCTCGAATGTCGGATATATTATCTTCATCTTCATGAACTTGAATGCCGTATGGATTCATCGAATGGACCGTTCACGCTGGAAACGACCATTCAAAGCACCTATTTGATTGCTCTTATTCAGTGTCATACTTGCCTATGTGAATCTTGTATTTCTTGGCATGGGATCAGATATATGAGGAGTTGGAACGCTCGTTTCAGGTTTAGCATTTGCCGCCATCATCATTCCAGTGTTTCTCATCCGTCATTATATCCAAGGCAAAAGGTTACTTTCCTGTTTCGATAACAGATGATATCAATTCCTATGACGAGAAAAGTGTAAAGAGCCGTGCTGGAGTGCTTCCATATATTACACTTGGAATGGACATACTGACTGTCATAGTCTCGCGTTTGCTTGCAAAATATTAAATTATAATATCGTTACATTAGTATTACTGGTATAATTCTGGTAGGACTACTTACTGTAAACTATTAGTTCTCGCTGTTGGTTTACATAATACAGTAAAACTCTCTAAAGTAGACACCTTTATAAGCAGAGATGTGGGGAAGCGAAACAAGAGGGAGGGAGTGGGGATGCCAAACTGTTTTTTCATTTTAAGATATTTTTTTGGTTAAAAAAACATGAATTTGACTGAAAAAAAACGAAAATTTTCCATAAGTGGGGTATGTGTACACCTCTGCACACTCCATACTCACAACATCCCTGCTTTGATGTTGTAACAAACTTTTCATAAGATATATCTATTAAATTATAGAAGCAGCCTGAATTGATGCCAGTTACAAATAATAGTAACTTTTATAGATATACTTAATAATTTTTGTGTCAAGGAAATCAACGGACATTCCTTAGACTATTATTTATGTTGAAAATTAGCAGAATTTGAAAGAATATTTCAATTACTTCTTCATATTTTTTTCAATTCCTCATGAACCATCAACTTTATATCATGTATGTGGTTTGCATCAGAATCAATATAATATTTTCCTAGTTCGACAATATATTTAAGGATGCTTTCTTGCTTCTGTTATTATTTGTATTTATCAGTTGCGAACGAATTATAAGTTCGATGAAACTCTTTGTTGATCTGTCAGAGATCAAAACTAAGATAGCTTAACTAATAATATATTTTCATTCGTATATCGAAGTAAATCTTCTTTAGATAAGGACTAAATTTGTTGTATTTTACTATTTTCCTATGAACTCATTCAGATAGAGTAGACTTTGACTATCAAAATAAAAAGTAGATAAAACATCTATACAAGACTCTGCTTAACCAGTCAGTCATGTACATGAGGTCGACTTGAACCTAGAATAGCTTCAAAAAGTTTCAATAGTGACGAAATTTTTCGTAAAAAAGAGATGAAAAGTTAACACATAATACAAAAGTAATGGTGCAGATGTCGGATCCTATTTCTCTTCAATAGAAAGAGTACTGAAAGGAATTTTTTTATCACAAGATGAAGTGTCTGTCTCTCTTTTGAATCGTATATAACTTATTTTTATAACACAACCATCAATGGAACAACGCAACAGAAAAGAGAATCACCCTGAGAAAGAATCTTCACTTTTCTATAAAAGAGTCGCACAAAACATCGACCCATATATCGTGTCACTAAATAATTTTTGAAAAAAGAATCTTTTATCAGTTGATAGGAAATTTTCTTCTCTTTCGAACAGTGTGTGATACATATTCGTCACATATTAGTAAGTGAAGCGAAACCAAAGAAGAGAGAAACATCTGGGTAATAAATTTGTAATTTTCAGATAAATTCGTTAACAATATCTTGTAAACAGCAGTTGATGACAGCTAACTGTCGTTTGACAAGATTTTTTTAATGAGTTCGCAAAGATCGCATTAATTGTCGTCCAGCAAGATGTTTTTGATAAATTCATATAAAAATTTTTATATTTATTTCGCGAATGTTTCTCTTCTTTTTCTTCTCTCAATTCATTTACGTATGTGCGACGTATATAAATCGTACAATGGTGGAAAGAGAAGAAAATTTCCAATCACAGTTAATAAAAGAAATTTCCGTTTCAAAACATGGTCGTTGAAGAGTTAGAGGAAACAACATTTGTGTCATTTTTCTGAATCTCACGAAAAGTACGGTTTCTTTTCAAGAGTTCTTTTCTGTTTGGTTACGTCATTTCATTTATGAACGTGTGACAAAAATGAATTATATATGATTCGAAAGAGAAGAAAAAGCTCTCTCTTTTAGTAAAACACTTCTCGTTCAGTACGTTTCTATTGAAGAGAAACAGAGTCCAACATCTGTCCCATTACTATTCCAGTAAAGTTAAAGAAACGAACTCGATACCAATTAATATAGATCTATGATAAATGTATAAAAATATTAAATTATTTGACAATAAAAGAAAGATTTTCTTTCTAATTCGTCAATTTTTACTTTTGGAGATTCGGTAACGATGGTAGACGTCAAAGATTGTTTTTGTTTATTAAATACAGATCGAAAATGAGATAATTCAACTAATGATAAATTTTGACTTGTTCGTCGAAGAGAATCATCTTGTAATAAAGATACAACTTGTTGAAGTTCAACATTTTCTATGAGTTCACTCATATACATTAAACTTCTACCATTAAAATTAGCGAATAAACGAGACATTTGCAACAAACCATGACCAGTCAGCCAATCATGAACATTTGTTTGATTCCAGTCGAGAATATTTTCCGGAAGTATTAGCGCTAATGATGGTTCTGATGACATTTGTTTCGTAGGAATCGTAGCATTAACTTCTTCTTCCGAATAGACATTTGCAGAACATATTTCACAGATGACTGGAGCTTTCAGTTCTTTGATTAGCATTTCCATAGCTTGTGAAAATTCATATTTAGTAAAATCAACATAAAGTAATTGACCAACTAGAAATAACAACCAACCATCGGGCTTATAATGTTGTTGTAAAAGAATTGGAACGATTCTTATTCGACGTTGAAATGCATAATTTGCTTCTGCTCGACAATAATTACTTCTTTGATATTGTTCACTCATACAAATTAAAATTGTATTTGATTGTTCAATTGCTTGTGCCATAGCATCCATAACATTACCATGCATTTGATCAAAATCAATCCATACACGATAACCTAATTTAATAAGTTGATCATATAATTGCTTACAAAACATTTTATCTTTATGTGAATAACTAATCATAATTTCGAAGCTTCTTTCATTACTAATTGCTAATTTTGTACGATCTTCATGGTTTATTTCCAAATTCCATAATATTCCATATGCAATTTTTCGTATTTGATGATCAGATTCTTTTGGTAGATAAGCTAGTTTTGTTATAAATGATGTATTTGAACGAAGTTGTTCTTGAATATCATTATTGAATGAAAGTGCCCATAGAATATCATATACTATTGGATACTGATCACAAATTTCAATTAAGAGTGACACCTTATTTGTATTAGCTATTTGCTGTTGAAAAGCATCGATTTTTGATAAATTTACCAAACCTACAGAAAAATATTTATAAATGAAATTTGACTATCAATTACTTATGACTTGCCTTTCAGTATAAGAAACATAGACATGTTTTGGAACTTTTTTGATGGATGTTGCCATGCTTGTTCAAATATATTGAAGAAAAAACTACTTACAGTACGAGAAATTTTTAATTCTTTCAACCTTTCATCACATATAATCTCACCAAGTATTGCATATATACATGAACATATTTTATCAGAGGGTGATATTTTAGCAATACTCAACAGTGTATCTGGTAGCGATGTCTTTGAACGTATAATCCAAATACAGTATTCATCTTGTGCTATATTGAGTATAGAGAATAAAGTTGTATCGAGCAGAATTGCTTGATCATTTGATCCCTGTCTTGTAATAGATTGAGAAAATGGCTAATAATCAATAATACGAATAAGTGCATCGATATATTCGCAAGTTGATAAGTCAGTAGGAAAAACTATTTTTGTCTGTGGTCCCTTTTCTCCTCCCCACCAACAACAAGAACCGAAAAGATTCGCAAGTTGAACAATACAAGTCAGTAATTGTGCGCTCCATGATTCTATAGTACAAGTATGAAGAAGAAGTATTTGTACGTAATCAGAACCAAAATGATGAAGTAATTCTTGAGAAGTATAAATAAAATCTTGAGCTTTTGCAAATAGATATGAACTTAAAAATAGTGAACAGGTTTTTATGTAGAACAAGTGTTTAGCAGTAAATATAGATGGTGATAATGGTGATTGATGAAGTTGATTTAAATAGAATTTATATTGATCAGTCATAACATATTTACGTACTATATAATGAGTGATATAAATTAAAATACTGGACATTGCAAATTCATTATTATCATGTAAAAAATACGAGAGATTATCAAACCAAAGACTAACTATGCTAATAAATGGATCATTTTCATCGGTTGTTTTCTCAAATCTTTCAAATATAACATTAATACAGTCAACGGTCTCAGGTATAAGTAGTGAACCTTTAGTATTAGCATCAATATCATCATAATTAAAAATCAAATTCTTATTAAATAATGCAAGCGTATGCAATAATTCTAAATATTTTGGTTCTTCCATCCATTGATGAGAGGTTTTACTGAATAATTCCCAAGCCCAATGTTCGAGGATAAGTATTGATTGATAGAATTGTGAAATAAATGATGATAATAATTCAGAATTTTGTTTTTCTAAAACATGTCTTATTTCACAAAGACTATCACTGTATGATGAACATATTTGAAGTGCAGCAATAAGTTGTTCAAAATTATTTTCCATTATTAGTGTTTACAATATGTTTTCTAATGCGTAAATATCATTTTTGTTCTACTTATAGATTAGGCAGGTATTGAATGTTTTTCATCGAAATACGTATATATATATTCATTTTGTTTGTTTTTATTCTGTTTGTTTTTAGTGATTGAAGGTTGATAATCACATGGCAGGTAAGTAAACAAGGTGACACATTCCTCATAAATACTTCAGACTTATCAATAACAAACAATTCAGCTGCTTTGATGTTGTAACAAGTTTTTCATAAGATTTATCTATTAAATTATAGAAACACCTTCAATTGATGTCAGTTACAAATAATAGTAACTTCTATAGATAAACTTAATAATTTTTTGAGTCAACGCAAACAACGGATATTTCTTATACTATTATTTATGTTGAAATTTAACACAATTAGAAAGAATATTTCAGTTATTTCTTCATATTGTTTTTCCAATTCTAAAGAAGGATATATCCATATGTTGATGAAGTGAAATTTAATACTTGATATAGAAAGAGATACATTTTGAGTTTTGAAAAATTGTTTTCAATAATTCATTGTTTTTAAATTTAACCTAATAGAATATGATAATTCAACTAAATATAAGATTTTCTCAGTATCTCATAAACCATCAACTTTATATCATGTATATGATTTGTATAAGAACCAATATAATAATTCCATAGTTCAACAATATATTTTAAGAATTTTGTGTTGCTTCTCATATTTTTCGTATTTATTAGTTGCGATATTATCAATCCTATAAATCTTTTCTTTTTCTTGGTCTATCAGAGGTCGAAACTAAAATAGTTTCACTAATAATAAATTTTCATTTATATATCGAAGTAAATCTTGTTTAGATAAGAACTAACTTTGTCGTATTTCACTATTTTCTTATGAAATCATTCAGATAGATTACACTTTGGCTATCAAAATAAAAACTGGTTAAAACATCTATATAGAATTCTGCTCAACTAGTCAATCGTGCATATGAGATTGACTTGAATCTAGGATACTTTCCAAAAGCTTCAATAGGGACGTAACTTTTCGTACAACAAAGAGATGGAAAGTTATGTCGTTGCCCATATTGAATAGTTCTCACTTGTTTTGAATATAATTGAAGGTTCCATTCAATTCGATGAGTAATATTCCTATAGCTAGACGGAATTCATTTTTATTTAGATTATTATACATTTGATTAAAACCAATTCAAATACAGTAACTAGTTTTGACAAATTCTTCGTAGATTTTCCATTCATAACTTTTATAATTGGCAGATCGTGATGATTTAATTCTAGATTCTATATGTAATTCTCAGTATTAGTTGATTATCACATTCTATTGTTGGATAAGACAATATTGACATAAATAAAGCACTTGAACAAAACTGTTGTTGAATATCATGATTGAATGAAAGTGTTCGCATAATATAACATACTATTGAGTATTGATCATGTAATTCAATGAAAAAGAGAATTTCATTTGAACTAGAAGGGTCTTGATTTTTCTTAAATAGTATTGTTCTTTGATAAAGGCCAAAAACCTGGAATGAATAAAGTGATAATTTTGATATGGATATTTTCAAAATGATGTGAGAGTATTACGATGAAACATTGATGAATTCGATTTCTATATATCAGATGATTACTTGTTAAGTTCATCTACACATGGAAACTATTTGATTTGAGAAGAATTACACCTAATTTTCAAAAGCATAAAGCTGACATTTCCTAAGGAATTATGATTTTCTCGAAATCGATTCTTTCAAAGTATTGTATACTTAGTCCGATATAGATAAACAGCTGTGTTGAATTATGGTATTGGTTATTTTAAAAAGTCATGGATGCTAATTATAAGATAAAACTATTCAAAACAGAAATTAATTTTTCTTCTAACTTTTTATTTCAATAGTTTTAAGTTTGCTTAAAAGTCTGAATTTAATCAGTAAAATTTAATAATTATGAAAAAGAGGGCAGTATAACGAAAATACTTTCTTTTGTAATTGATTCACTTCTGAATAGTCCTCCTACACTCTCAATAGTCTATCAATCTTTCCGCCGTTCGCTATTAAGAATCTCACCTAAGTTTACTGTATGTACATACACATATTTTTATCACACACTAATATTTTTTGTTGATAATCAAAACTATTTCTGGTGATTTTATCATGAAGTAAAAACAATCATATACGATTTATTCTGTAATGAAGACTAACTACATCTGATGTATTCCCTGTCGATCCCATTAACAATGTCTACGTACTAAATCAACAAGTTGAGCGACACTAGTAAGTTTGTATTCATTCTATGATTGTATATTCTTAGCATGAATATGAAATATTTGTAAATAAATTATCTTCAATATATTAAAGCATTTAGTCATCAGCATAAGAAAAATGTTGAACTCGTGCAACTAAATATGGACAAAAATAAAATGAATAAGGGTTTGTATAGACTAATGGTTTTTATTTAGTAACAATACGTTGTGACATTAGTAATTATTGAAATTGAGTTAAAAAATATTTATACTAATTAGTTACTGGAAAATGACCCAACTTGACACGTTATACTCATATGAAATAGATTTAAATAATTTGATTTCTTGAGCTATTGATAGAGAGTTTTGACTCGAAAATTGTCATAATCAGTGTTCAAGAACGAATATTGATTGATAGAATTGAGATATAAGCAATGACAATATCTTCGAATTCGGTTGTTGAAGATGAAGTATTATTATACTGTAAATAACATTAAAAAATAATGGAAATGTTGAAAATTCAGTCAGACATTGTTTCAAATTGATTTCAATCGTGTCAAGCTATCTTATATTTCCATTCTATACGATAAAATAAGTAAAATTACTTATTTTTCAAATGCTCGAATGTACATAAACAGAATTTAATAACTATTTTTAATTAAATTATATTCCTGTTTTTTTTCTATACCTATTCATTAACTGTCAATCTCAACCAACGTTATATTGAATCTAAAATATGTATTTTTTTATGTTTCATTCTACGGACAATGTATATCATTGCAATCGTTTATAATAATAAAGAGATATAAAATTAATATTCAAATATTAGTTAAGAATGTTTATTGTGAATAATTGTTTAAAACGAACAAGAGAATAGGTAACTGGAAATTACTTTTCATTTATTATCTATTTACAAACATTTATGTTGTAGTTTGTTATTATAAATATAAACGAGCAAAGAATACAATATATTCAATTGTTGCTTTTTTATTTTTTTCATTACCGTGCAAATCAGCGTACAAGGTCCATGTTTGTGGTTGCGACAAAAAAAGAGAGCGCAATCTATAGACAAAAACGTCAAGGGAATAATAAATATAAATCGAAGGAAGAAAAAAACAGCAAGTCGTCATTTATATTTAACCTTGTAATTTTACTCGTATCATTACCTTTTACAGTCCATAGTCTAGAAAACTAAATTCAATAGCTTTAAAAATATGCCTATGTTAATAGTAAATACAGAGTTTAAAAAAATTTCCGTTGATATCAAAGGTTATCATATTCTTTTTTTATGACGAAAGAACATGTATTATTATTCATTTTCTTTCTAACTATTATCATAAGATAAAAAGATAAAACTGGGCAATATAAGATAGTAAGATAGCGTCCTTGACTTGATATATCATTCTATACGAATAATCATGACTGAAGAGGTTTCGTCTATAAAATTATCTATTTCAACTGATGAACCTGCCGATGAAAATTTTGCGGTAACGGCAACAGAAAAATCGATTAATCATTCAACTCCAATAACACCAACATTAGTTCATCGTACATTTGCTCCATTAAATACTCCATTATATCGTCGACGACAAACTTTAACAATTCTTGTTTGGTTTCTTATGCCATGGATATGTCTTTATATATCATTACTTCTTTTACGTTGTCATAATTGGTATATTGTTGGTGCTTTTATTGCTTATTTAACATGGATGGGTTTTTTTCAAAAATATCCAAGACAAGGTGGATTAAAACAACAATGGTTTCGACGACTTAAGTGGTGGAAATGGTTTGCTGGTAAATAGAACGCTTTTTAAAAAGAATTTTTAAATATTATTTATTTAGATTATTTTCCTATACAGTTACACAAAACATGTGATTTACCACCAGATCGTTCATATATATTTGGTTGTCATCCTCATGGAATTATTTCACTTGGTGCTTTTTGTAATTTTGCCACAGAAGCAACTGGTTTCAAAGAAAAATTTCCTGGTATTGATCTTCGTGTACTCACATTAAAAGTCAATTTTCGTATACCATTTTATGGGTTTTATTTATCGTTTATGGGTATATGTGATGCTTCAAAAGAATCATGTAATTATATATTAGAAAAAGGTAATGGTAATAGTATATTATTAGTATTGGGTGGTGCTAAAGAATCTCTAGATGCTCATCCATCACATGAATATATTTTAACATTAAAAGATCGTAAAGGTTTTGTTAAAGTTGGTTTAGCTCATGGTGCAAGTCTTGTACCAGTTTTTTCTTTTGGTGAAAATGATCTTTATGAACAAATACCAAATCCACGTGGTTCAAAACTACGATTAATACAAATAAAAATACAAAAACGTTTAGGTTATGCAACACCATTTTTTAAAGGACGTGGAATATTTCAATATGCGGTTGGATTTTTACCAAATCGACATCCTATTGATACATATGTTGGTGAACCAATACATTTACCAAAATTAGAACGTGATAAAGTTACAACTGAAATTATTGATAAATATCATACAGAGTATATGGACGCATTAAAACGTTTATTTGATACATATAAAGCAAAACATGGCAATGCCAATGCAACAATCAAATATGTTAATAATAATGATTGATAATAGGAAATAATACAAAACACAATTTTTTTTCTAATCTATGTTTGCATAAATTATAAATAAAAGTACAAACGCTCTACCTATTAAAGATTTTATGAATTAATACGAATATCAAAAGAACAAAAAAAAAAGGAACAAAG